CTGGCCCCTCCTGCCTCTCAGGGGATGCTCAGCTTGATTCTGGCTTCAGGCTTTACTCCTGGCAGAACTGAGCCTCTGACTGGCGCTTGGAAATGGAGCCCAAATTCCTGGTGCTCAGTGGGGCCTCGGTGCGCTGGCCTGGGGTTGGACCTGCCACGGGAGGTGAGGGTGAAGGACGGGGCGAGTCACAGAGCATTTCCCTTCAAGTCCCAGTGTGAGCAGAGATGCTGACCAACATTTCTTCCATTTCCGGAGCTTTACAAAAGCTCTCGTTCAGTCCTGATGGTGGCCTGTGGGTGGGAAGGACCAGCGTCCCACACGGGGGGCGTGAAGAGGCCGAGGTCTCACCCCAGCTCCATGAGCTCAGGGGCCTGCCTTCCTGCACCCCACCGTGTCCCCAGCCTGTGAATGTCCTCCTACCCCACCCTGGAGAGCCCTCTGCCCTCAGCTGAACCAGGCCCAGGGCCTGAGCCAGGGCCCAGTGAAGACACAGCTGGGGCTCCTGAGACATCGTCCCCAGACTGTTTCTTCTGGTCCTAGGAGGTGATGTTCTTTTCTCTGGTTAGAAATAGACTGTTCCTGACTTAGGACGGGTTGACTTGCCATTCGACTTTAAATCACACTAAAAATTCCAAATTTGGACCTTTTCCCAGGCTCGCTGTGCCGTCCAACACCCTCGTGACGCTAGGCGGTGCAGAGAGCCACGGCCCAGTCAGCCCCACAGTCATGAGGGGAATGACAAAGTCACGCAGTGTGTGTCACGAGCGATCATTATCGACTCCGTCGGAGGCGCAGTTAGATTCAATCAAGCCTATTTTATTAATGTCCATCACACTCCAGATACACATCTTAATTCTAAGTCCCAACTGAGTCTACACCCAAGGGGCCCAGACGCTCACCTGTGACATGTCTTAAGTCCAGGTCCCTGGAATACCAACCAGGCCAGGGGAGTCTCGGGGGGGGGGGGGACAAAAGTGGCAGAGGTCTCTCTGTCTGGTTCCCTGCCGCCCCCCGGAAGTCTGGGTTTTCAAGTCCGAGTTCACTTGTGCTTGCAGCTGATAACTGGGTGGGTTCTGGGGTGGACGCCCTGGGGTGGACTTGCACACCACTCCCTTAGGTCTGAGCTCTGCAGTCACATCCTTGTGTTGCTCGCAGCCTTTTACCCATCGAACACTGATTGGTCCCGTCACATTCCTGGTGCTCCTATCAGTGCGACGTCCGGCAAGGGGATGGGTTTGCTGGGCATGACCCCATTGTAGGTGGAGGAGCAGCTGTACCCGCCACAACTCTAGAAGTACATATGGCATCGAGGTCAGAGTCCTCGAGGTCCTGCGTAGCCTGCCGCCCTGCCATGAACCGCGGGCCTGYACATATATCCGGACACGGCACGGTTGGCGACCTGTGTGGAAAGACACGTATCTGCTTGGGTTCATTTATAGCCCCAAGTGAGCACTTGTGACACTCTCATGAGCGCCCACTGGCTCTAAACAAGTGTCCTCCTCCTGGTTCCTTCAGGGCCGTTGTCACCAGTGCACTCTAATGACACAGACTCGCGGGTGTCACGGCAGCCGTGGGAACATGCACATGGCTTACACCACAGCCCGGCCCTCCCCCAATCCCTGCCACTCTCAGATCATCTGTGTCCTCCTAGATTCGCACGTGAGGAGACACTTGCGACACTTTTCTTCCTGAGTCTGGCTCATTTGCTCAACATGGGGCTCTCTGGCTCCCCCACTTCCCTGCAGATGACTGGTCTTGTCTCCCGCATGCGCCTTCCCGGTTTTCTTTCCAGGCCTGGGGTTGACCCCAGGGCCCTCACATGCTGGGCAAGTGCTCTTCTCTCCACCAAGCTCCTCCGAAGCCCTGGTTAGAATTTCATCTGAGGCAGGGTCTTGCTAAGTTCCCCTGACTGGCCTTGAACCTGCAGTCCTTCCGCCTCAGCCACCGAGTAGCTGAGACTGCAGGTGTGACCCTGCCAGCTCCTCCTCCTCCTCCTCCTCTTTTTCCCTTGGTACCAGGGATCGAACCCAGGGTGCTCAAACACTGAGCTGCATCCCCTGCCCTTTTTATTTTTCATTTTGAGACAGGGCCTCACTGAGTTGCTGAGGCTGCTGTGAACTCATAATCCTCCTGCCTTAGCCTCCCGAGCCCCTGGGATCACAGCCAGGGCACCCAGCTCAGCTCATTCTTCTTTATGTCTGATAATGCTCTTCACACCTTTCCTTTATCCATGATGTGCTGATGGTGCCTTGGTTCATGCTGTAACCTGGCCATTGAGTTCGTTGTGAGGGATGTGGCTGTGCAGGTGTCTCAGGGGTGCCCTGGCTCAAATTCCCTGAAGCACACCCCCAGGCCGGTCTATCGGGATCAGGTTTGTTTGACAGTTTGACTCCCATGCTCCTTCCCTAGCGCTGTACTGGTTCACACCCACCAACAGTGTGGAAGGCTTCCCTTCCCCGCGTCCTCACAGTGTCGTGTGGTGGTTTTCTGTTTTGTTCTGTTTGTGGTGACTGCCAGCCGTTCTGACTGGAGTGAGTCAGAGCCTCGGTGCCGTTTTGATTTGTGTTTCCCAGATGGTGAAAGAGGTTGGGCATTTTTCATGTATTTGTTGGCCGTCCCTAGTTCCTCTTTGGGGAATCACCTGTTCAGTTCATTTGCCCGCTGATCGAATCGTCTGTGTTTTGGTTTTTAGTTTCCTGAGTTCTCCTCGTCTTCTGGACATTGAGCCTCTTCTGAGAGAGCTGAGCAGGGACGACCCCCTGCAGGCCGTCCCTCCACTCTGCTGATGGCCTCCTGGGCTGGCAGACGCTCCTCAGCTGGCCGGCCCCACTTGTCCATCTCAGTCCTTGCTGTTGTGTCCCGAGCTGTTGAGTCCTCGTCAGGAAGTCCTTGTCTGGCCCGTGTCCTGAAGTGCTTCCCTGTGTTCCCCAGCAGTTTCGGAGGTTCAGGTCTTAATCTCTAGGTCTTTGACTCCTCTGGAGAGATGGGACCTGGCTGGGTTCTGCCTAAGGAGCTGCAGCACTCTTGGCCGGGAGGCTCTTGCTCTAGCCTGTTTCTGGCACCTTGCCCCGAGTCGATGGCTGTGGCCGAGTGGGCCTGTCTCTTGTCTGTCCCGTAGGTCACGTGCCCGTTGCTCTATGGTGGGTTTTGCAGTCAGGCCCTGCGATGGCCATTGCCCTTTTTGCTCGGGATCAATTGCTTTAGCTACTCAGGGCCTTTGATCTTCCCCGTGAATTTCAGGATTACTTTTCTAGTTCTGTGAGTGGTGTCCTTGGTCCTTCAGTGGGGTTCTCACTGAATCCATAGGTTGCTTTCGGTAGCAAGGCCGTTTTTACAGCACCCTGCCAGCCCACCACGGGGTGGGTGGGGCTGCCGCCCTCCAGGTGGCTCTAGTTCCGTCTTCAGCTTTGTGATTCTCATAGTCGAGGTCTTCCACCTCCTTGGTCAGGGTTAGTCCTCGGTGTTTTTTTAAGTTCCTGATTTCTTTCTTAGGAAGTTCATTGTTGGTGTACAGAAAAGCCACTGGTTTCCCTGTGTTGATTTTGTGGTCTGCTATACTAATTTGCTAAATTTATCAGATCTATGATGCCATTATTTTTTGCACTTTTGGGCTTTTTGTTGGTGGTTTGCGATTTACGATGGCCCCTGCACAGTGCTCAGGTGCCGTCTGGGTTCCTGTTGGGCCCCATGTGTGTGTGAGAGAAGCCTGGTTCAGGCACGAGTCCTGGAGCCACGGCCGTGAGCTCAGAGTTTGAAGATGCACGGTGGGTATTAAATAGGGCTCCCTGCACAGAAACACACATGCAAAAAAAGCCGTGTAGGATCACATGATGCAAATAGCAGGCTGACTCGGAGGACCCCGACCCTGCATCTCTCCAGGGGTAACGATGGAGCGTCTGTCAATCAGTATTCTTGGTGACACTGTAGAAAGTGGGTGCTGGGAATCATGAGAGGTAGGGGTGTGAGTGTGTGTGTGTGCGTGCCTAGATGTTCGTGTACTTTGAGTTTAATTACATGCCGCTGTTCCTTGGTCTCTGTTGGGATTGGGTCCATGATCCTCGAAGCTATCAAAGTCCTCAATGCTCAGATGAAAGAATGTAGTATTTACACACAGTCTTTGTGCTTTGACCCACCTCCACAGGGCTTGTGGTCTCTAAGGTCAGTGTCAATGCTGTGTCAGTTCTTGCCATCCTGTGTCATCGAGAGAGTAAGGACAGAATTTTCCTTCTTCAGAGGTGGACCCTGCGTCCACACAGGGCCAGCCGTGATGCATTTGAGGTGGAGAGTCTGTTGTGTCCCTGGTGAACTTTCCCCATAGGTCAGAATTGTCTTAGTTGCACAAAAGCCCTCAATGCCCCAAAAGGGGAATGAGGCAGAAAGCCCAGGCCCTTGTCATGCGCCATAGAAGCCACAAGCAGTGTGGGTGACACACGATCCCCATCCTTGATTCTGTCAAGAGGAAGGGGAAGAAGCCGGTCTTGTCAACCCAGTTCACAGAGACACTGGGACAGAACAGGGACAGTGAAATGGCCGAGTCCTCACTGATGGGCAGGGCAGCGTGGCTCTACCCGTGGGGACTCTAAGGCGGCCAGGGGCCACCCCTGGGCTGCCACCCCCCACACTTGTCGCCACTTCATCCTTGGCACCAGTCTGACCCTGCAGTTGGTACCCTCAGTCCTTGCTGAGGGTACCCTCCTTCTGAGGGGGCAGCTGGGCTCGGGGAGGGCCAGGAGCCTCCAGCCCACCTCGGCAGGGCTGTCGTGGAGACTGGGTCTACCCTGGGCCTCAAGCTTCCCGGGTTCCCAGGACCAAGGACCCTGGCTCCCTTCGTTTTGTGGGTGGGTCATTGTCACAGGGCAGATTCTGGAATCCCAGGAGTCCAAGGTGGAGGGGCTGGCGTCTGGACACCCCTGGCGGGAGGACGAGGGCAGGAGAGTCGGAGAGCCACCAAACTCCGTCTTAAGACGCCTGGTGTTGACACTATCTGTCCCTCCCCGCAGGTCTACATCATCCGCGTCACGTGGTCCAGCGGCTCCACCGAGGCCATTTACCGGCGCTACAGCAAATTCTTCGACCTGCAGGTGAGGACTCGGGTCCTGCTGGGCTGCAGGTGGGCAGGGGTTCCTTGGCCACTGTGCACTGTGGCTGGAGGGTCTGGACTCTCTACTTCTTAGACTTAGACATGCGTCACTTCCCCCGCCGGCACCGTGCCTCATGCTGTGTGCTCTGAGGGGCAGCGCTGTGGGCTGTTGCAGGAGGACCGGGGCCTCCCCGTGTGGCTCTGCAGCGCCATCTTGAACTGGGTTTTGAATGCCAATTCATTTGCTGGTGAGCTCAGCTTGTTGGGTGCAGCTGGGCTCTTGGGGCCACTGGGCGGCTCTGAGTCCAGCCCCATCTCTGGCTCACCTCAGCCTCTCCCTCCACACTCAGCTCCTGAAATGCCCCGTGTTCCCTGACCTGCCCTCACCGGGCCTTGTACCTGCAGAGCCTCACCTGGAACATTCCCAGCCCCTCCTGAGCCACTGCTTGACTTGGGCAGCTCCTCACGGCACTCGTCCTCTGGAAAGCCTGTCTGACTCTCCCCAGCCAGCAAGAGCCACCTGCGCCCCACGGGCCTGCGGGCTTCTCTGTGTTGACTGCCTGTCTGGGGCCCAGTGTCCCCAGTGATGTTCCCCTCTAGGTGACAGCAGTCATGGGCAGAGGTACATCTGCCCTAGCCTGTCTCTATGATGTTCTACTCAATGCCCAGCTCACAGTGCCCAGCAGGCAGTGTTTGGTGGACGGATGGACGGATGAGTCAGTGGACCAACACCACGCGCACCTGTGGTCTCAGCGTCCCCCATCCCAGGAGGGCAGAGCAGTCCTGACCTCTGGGCCAGCAGCACCATCTCAGCCAGGAAGGCAGGCAACTAAGAGCAGGTGTGAGAAGCGCTGGCCCTCAGGTCGGGCTGGGACAGAGCTCTTCAGGAAGCCTCTGCCTCAGGGGTGAGGGCCTGGGGAGCTTGCCTGGCTTTCTGTCTGCTGCAGAGAGGTGAGGTCTTCCCTCCAGTGTGTCACTCAGCACACTTCTGTTCCTAGTGGCAGAACCAACTCAGATTTGCCAGAGTGAGCAGGAGGGCTTTAGGCTGGTGTAGCTGAATGACCTAGCAGCACGGGCCTCCTGGGCTTCAGGCACTGCTGCATCAGGAGCTCCCACAGCGTCCGCCTGCCTCTCCTTCCTTCCACATCCCCTGCCATGTAGGCCTCGTGCTCAGACCCCTGGGGCTGCGAAGTGGCTCCCGCAGCTGCAGCACACACTGAGTACGAGGGAGAAGTAAAGGTCACATCTCAGAGGCCCAGCAAGCGCGCCGTGTGTCCCAGGCTCATCTCCACCCAGTCAGCATGAGAGAGTGGTTGGACAGCCAGCTTCCCTGAGTCCCTGGAGTCCCAGGGTGTGGACTGAGACCTAGACAGAGGTGGCTCCAGACACAGCCATGATCAGAGGTTAGGTAGCTGGGCACCAGAGGACAGGCCCCGGCCCTGCCCCATCTTGTCCCTTCTCCTCGTGGGTCTCTGGCAGCTCGGGTGATGTTAATGGCAGACATCCTTGCTCCTGAGAATGTCACACAGACAGCTTTCAGAGCCCGTGTCCCACCGGGAGGGGAGGAAAGATGTGCTGCTGACGGGTTTCTCTGGCACCACTGGGCAATCCTGCCGCCTTCAGAAGACCCCCGATGTGAGGCATCCCACAAAGCAGTTGAGATGCCAGTTGCTTAGTGATTTAAGATGGAGTGAACTCGGTTTTGTTCAGCAGCGAGCAGCCAGACCAGACATTATGATTCTCTTCTGCTCTGCTGCAAGCGTCAGGTAAATAGAACAACAAAGAGGACCCGTGGTCGAGATGCTGGGGTGCCATCCAAAATGACGTGGCGGGACCAAACCCCAAGGCCAGAGGCCCGGGCCCAGGGTCAGCCCTGCACAGACGCGCCTTGCCCGGTGACGTGCCGGGGAGGGCTGAGCCAGGGTCTGACCGCAGCTCTTCCTCCTGACCCTGGCCCCTGGCTCCCCTCCAGCCCTGACTCAACTTTATTCCGACCAGAACTTGAAAGTTAGGTTTCTTCCCAGCTCAGCATAATTGGTGGCAGTTGGGGGTTTGCTGTCACATAAATGGCTGCCCAGCCCTCTGGCCCAACGCAGCACTGTCCTCCAGAGGCCGCGCCCAGCCGAGCCGGCTTTAAGGAGTCCCAGATGGGCAGCCGCGGCGGAGAGTCACGGGATTTCTGGGGTCCTCGTCACCCTGGGAACAGCCTTCCCCACCCAGAGGGAAGCAGACGAGGTCAGCCAGGGCCGCAGCTGTTCCTCATGATGGGCGGGAGGCAGCCCAGAGGGGCCTCGACGCCCCGTAGATGATTTCATGATTCCGCCGCCCTCCTCCCCTCTGGCCCCACGCCTTGGTGTTTCCAGAAGTAACTTGGCTCAGAGAGAGTGGGGAGGGCCGAGGCCTTGCCGAGGGGCAGCCTGGCCAGCATGTTGTAATGGAAAAGCAGAGGGTTCGGTCAGGAGGCCCGGGCCCAGCCGCCCACTAGCTGTGTGGCCTTGGGCACCCCCTTAACCCCTCTGTGCCTGATGGCAGCAGAAGCAGCTGGCGTTTCCAGAGCACTGGATGAGGGACCCATTCTGCTCGATATCTAGATGTAGCTACTCATTTAATCCTCGTGACAAACTTGTCACATTACACAGATGAGGATCTAAACAGCCTGGCACCATCACCAGCCCCTCTGTCTGCAACCCAGAAAGGTGCCCTCAGTTGACCAAGGTCACGCAGCTGGTGAGCGTCGGAACTACTCAGACTTGGGGCTGGATGGGTGACCCCAGAGTCCACCCTCTTGGCCACATTGGTCCCCACTGCTGCATCCCAAGGTTCTGATGAGTTAAAATTGACAGTTGTGTCCAGGAGAGGCCGAGACCAGACACAGCAGATAGCCAGGAGTCACCAGGGGCTAGGAGGGGGACAGGGAGACCCTGCTTACGGGACCTTGGGGGTAATGAATGTTCTAGATGCAGATGCCAGGCCTCATGTGTGGACATGTGGATATACTAAAGACCACTGCTCACTTCTAGAGGGTGACTTTAGGGTACGCAGCGTCCTCATTCTCTGTGCGGTGACAATGTACACACAGGCTCTCCCGCTCTCCCACCAGCGGTGTCTGCTGTTGGGACTGGCGGTGGGCGCTGTGGCTGCTGGGAGTTAGCTGCAGGCGGAGCGGGTGGTGGTGCAGGTTGTTAAGATCCTGGGCTTTGGAATGAGGACTAGGCTTTGATCCAGACCCTCCCTTCCTAGCTGCCGTGAGGTCCTGATTTAGTCAGAACCATCCCGGGGCAGATGACGGCAGCCCAGTTGAGGTGGGTTATTCAGACAGCACCTTCATTACCCAGTGGACTGAGAAATCCTGGGACCCTTGGCTTCAGGGGAGGACCAGCGTGTCTAGGAGGGCTTGTCTTCCTCCACTGTTGATTTTCTCGTGCCCAGGCCAGGAGGGACGGCATGGTGGCAGCCACAGCTCTGGGCTCTAGCTAACAGACCAGCACAGTGATGTCAGGGAACAGAGAAGCCCCTCCCCAGCAACTGGAGCAAATCTTATTGGCTCATCTTGGGTCACATGATCAGGTCATCAGGGTCAGCCAGGGACTGAAACAGAGTCAGCTCCCTGCCCTGCCGATGTGCCTAGACCCAAGGGTGGACATCAGGGATTCCCCAGTGGACATCAGGGAAATAGGCAGTAGGTGACAGAAAACCATAAATTGTCCTCTCTCCCTACAGGACGGGCAGAGTCTACTCTGCAGAGGGTGCTTCAGCCCAGACCATGAGTCTTTGCAAACAAGCCTTAGATGCGAGGACCACTTTGCCCTTTGCCATGTAAACTGTGACCTCTGTTGGTCAGAGGTCTGTTGTACCCCCAGGTCATGGCCATCAGTGAAGCCAGGGCCTCCCTCGCACAAGGCAGCTAAAAATTTGCTGACCTAGACCCTGGACTGGCACGGGGACCTGATGAGCTTCTACTTTCTGAAGCTCTCTGTGCAGTGGGGACGTATTACCCCAGTAGAGCCAGGTCAGGGTGCTCCCAGGGGACCTCTGACCACCTTCACCAGGTCAGGGTGCTCCCAGGGGACCTCTGACCACCTCACCAGGTCAGGGTGCTCCCAGGGGACCTCTTGCCACCTCTCACCAGGTCAGGGTGCTCCCAGGGGACCTCTGGCCACCTTCACCAGGTCAGGGTGCTCCCAGGGGACCTCTGACTATCTTCACCAGGTCAGGGTGCTCCCAGGGGACCTCTTGCCATCTCTCACCAGCGGCCTTCTTAGAGGGCTGGCCTCCTGGTGGAGGTGCAACCTGAACCGGTATTGACAGTGGACAGGGAGTTGGCCTCCACCTAGTGGGTAGGACACTCCTAGCAGGGCGGCTGGAGTCTGAGCTGGGCTTCTGCAGAGCAGGTGGGACACAGACACTGCGTCACTCTGTCTGCCAGGGAGTGCTGTCTGGGGYGGAGCGCCAGCTGCATCTGTAGCAGGAGCACACCTAGGGGAAGTCCCTGCATGGGGTCCAGGGAGGCCTTGCAGCCCCCTGCTGCCCCCATGCCGCACCGCAGGGCAGTGGGCAGGCCAGGGCACAGGTGCAGCTGTCTGGAGGGCATCAGATCCATCTCAGGGCGCAGCTGCCTCTTGGTCTGTGCCTTCCTCCCATCAGGCACAGAGAGGCCTGTCCCCAGTTGCTCAGCCAGCGTCATGTCCTGTCTCAGTGGGAACAGGACTGAGAGCCTGGTTGTCCCAAGCTCTCGAGAGTGTGACAGTCCTTAGCGCACCTTTTGGAGGGTTTTCTTCTGTCGCTCTGGGGGCGGGCATGGGGCTGTCAGGACCCGTTCTTCCTCAGCAGGCAGCCTGGCCCTGCTGGGCGAGTCCCAGAGACCCGGCCAATACCAGCCTGAGGCGCTGGGGCCACATCTGTCCCCAAACCGCCTTTCCTTGAGTCAGACACGCTCTCCTCCCAGACGGCCCTTCTGAGATGGGAGGTGCCACCAGCCCTCGGTGCTCCCTGGAGGGAAGTCTTCGTCCCCTGGAAGTCTTCGTCCCTGCCTTAGTGAGGGTGCAGAGCTAAGCTGACACATGGTCGTCTTTTTCCACCCGCTGCGCGATTCCTTCTTTCTGAAACAGCAAGAGACCTGATGGCCTTGGGCAGTGGCGTCTGGATGCACAGCCAGGCCTTGGTGTGGCTCCCTGGCAGCTTCTCTTCTCCTGGGCAGCGGATGACCAAGCCAGCGAAGCACGTTTTGAAATTCTGCTCTTCTGTTGCAAGAGCTGCTTTTCGAGTGCTCGGAAGCCCTGGAGGCCAGTGGCCACGTGCTGGAGGGTGCAGACGAGGCCAGCCCCTGGCTCCCCAGCCACGCTCACCTGGGCCAGAGCGAGTCGGAACAGGCCGAGGGTGGCTTCCCAAGACCAGTCCCTGGGGGGGGATTCTGGATGGGCACTCAGGGGAGCCCCAATCTGGGAGTGGTCGTCTAGGTGCATGGGTAGGGAGCCGTGCATTCTTTAAAAACACATTTCCCCCGATGGTGTCTCCGCACTATCTCCACAAACAGATCCGCGGAGGGAAAAGCACTTAGAGCAGCAGGACCCACAGGTCTGCAGGCCCTGCCCCTGAGGCCAGCGGATCCTCGTGCCATGCCCACAGGCTAGGGCCTGGAACTGACCTCAGTTCCGCTGGGTTTCATGTTCATATGACCCTCTGAGGCCACCTCAGAGTGACCTCGCGGAAGGCGAATGGGCCTCGGCAGAGGTGCTGGGTCTGCTGCACCCCTTGACCGTGGGAAGGCCACTGCCCTCTCTGCTCCCCTCGCCCTCACCTGCGACTTGGGACCTAGGGTCCGTTTCCTGGGCTTGCTGCAAAAGTCAGATGTACTCTTGTGTGAATTGCTCGTCGACGGCTGCCCGGTGTAGCAGTGGTCACTGAGTACCATTCTGTGTGAGTGATCTGAATATCATTCATCAGGGTTACTTGGCAACATCTCTTGAAGCTGCTGCCCCCAAACTTGTCTCTGTTGCAATCATTCATTAGCCATTTTTAAAAGTTAATCAACTTTATGTTTTAGAGTTGCTTTAGGTTCATAGCAAAGTCTACTGGAAAGTGCAGAGCATTCCCATATCCCTGCCCCCCCCACAGTGTCCCCACTATCAGTATCTGGTTCTCCCAATTTTTATTGAATTCCTACTATGTGCTGGTGTTGAAGAGCTCTTGAACTCCAGAGAGGAAGCCTGCCTCTTCCAGACAGGGCCCTGAGTGGCCTCACCAGTCTCTGAAGGACAGTGGACCAAGTATTACCCCGTCACCACGCAGGATAGAACAGGGCCAATGATTGAAAGCTACAAGTAAAACCACAGGCTACAGGGCTGGGAGGGTTTGCCCAGCACCCCTGAGGCCCTGCATGCTGCCCTCAGCACAGGGAAAAACCCACAGCTGAGGTGACGAGCCAGGCTGCTGGCCAAGCGCGTACCTGCCGGCAGCCCTGCGATGCCCTGCCAGGCCGAGGCTGGCCACCTCTCTGGGGCCAGGTGTTAAACAGCTCAGAAGGGCAGGAACCCAGCCTGAGAAAACCAACCAGCTTCTTCATAACCGTCTCATAGCACCAAGGGTGGGGCGGTRACTGTGGCACGTGAGTGTCAATCTCTGGCCCTTCTGCCTTGTTGGCCACTGCCTGGGCAGATTTCTTCATGGATATTAATGTCCGTGCTCAAGGTGTGCCCTGAGGACTCCATGAGGGCGTGTGTGTGTGTGAGTGTGTGTGTGTGTGTGTATGAGTGTGTGTGTGTGTGTGTGTATGAGTGTGTGTGTGTGTATGTGAGTGTATGTGGTGCTGGGGATCGAACCCAGGGCCTCACGAATGCTAGGCAAGCACGCTACCACTGAGCCACGTGGCCAGGCAGGGCCTGAAGACCTAGTGCATGCCTGGCTAGGCCTGATGCTCAGCGGAGCCTTCTGTTCCACCTGGGGAACTGCTGTTCCTTCCAGAAGGCCTGCAATTAACTAACCTCATTTCTCCCAGACTTTTCCAAGTTTCTTTGATTCTATCAGAGAGACAGATCTGGAGAGGCAGAGTGACCTTTTCCTTGAAATGCAAGGACAGGCACATTTTTCACCTGCCAAACATTACTTTGGGAGGCTCAGGACTCCCTCACCATCTGCTTTAACTTCTTGACCCATGTACTAGTCAGGATAGCTCAGGATATGCTGCTATAACAAGTGACACTCACGAGACAACTGGGCGTATTGTTGGATCTTACTCCAGCAACATGGCCTTCAGAGGTATTGGGGACTCTGGACCCTCCCTTCAGGACCCCAGCTGGCAGAGAAGTCATTCTCAGGAGTGTGGCCAGTCCCCCTGGCAGAGAGAAACAGAAAATGGTAAATAGGTACCAGTTATGAATCTCCATCTTTGCACAAAGGGAATCAGTGGCAGACCCTTGGGTTTGGGATACTGGGTGAGGTGATCCACATTCACGCCTCAGGGCACTGAAAGGCTTCCATGTGTCACAGTCTGTCCCCATTCCTGCTTCTCCCCACCCGTCCCATGGTGCCTCCAACACCACCTGCAGTTACCAGTGTACAGCTCAGTCTCCTCCAGACTCTGTGTCTTCACTGCAGTCCCCACGCGTCCAGCCCGGCCAGGCCCAATGCTGTCTGCTGAGCCACTGGGCAGCTCTTGGGTCCAGCGGACATGATCATAGACCTAACCAGTCCTGTTGTGGTTTGTTAACACAACCTAGCCGCTCTAGGAAGCAGGATGATTCCCGTCCCTGAAATTCTGGAGCCTCTGAGGGTGCTGTTTGCATGTCCTTCAAATCCAAGGGCAGGAAGCCCCAGGGAAACCAAGAAAGGTCCTGCAGCCCCGAGCCTTCACGATCTGCAGCTTGGACGTAAAGAATGGTTTGGGGGCCCCAGACCAGCTGGAGTGGCCTTCTCCATGGGGTCTGAAAAGCTGGACAGAGCAAACTCTGGGTATCACGTAATTCCTTTGAAAGGTCAGAGGCGCACGGATTGTGCTCCGAGAGGTCTGAGGTCTGGTGTTCTCTACCTTCAGATGCAGATGTTGGACAAGTTTCCCATGGAAGGAGGGCAGAAGGACCCCAAGCAGCGCATCATCCCCTTTCTGCCAGGTAGGCCAYCTGCACCATCGGAGGGGACGCCGGGGCCACAGAGCAGCTCCAGGCCTCTCAGGGCACCTTGCAAGCTCCTCCTCTGTCATCGGGGAACACTGTCCCACTGACCAGAGTTCCCGGGACACAGGCCCCACACACTGTTTCCTAGGCCCACGACTGGGCCTCATGTCCACCTCCAAATGGGAATGGCCGACGGCACTTCCCTGGAGCATGGCTCCCTGCCCGGCTGCCGGGCTCTTTTCTGCTCCACATCTCAGACGCAGCTCAGCAGCCCTGAGCGACCCCATTCACCCCTCACAGCTCAGCAGGCGGCATCCAGGCTGGCTCCTGGGTTCTCTGTTTAGGGCCTTAGGAGGCCAACGTCCAGGTGTCGGCTGGGCTAAGGCATGACCTGGTGTCTGGGGAACACACGGCCCACCTCGGTCACCTTGTGGCACATCCCGCTTGCCTGTGGGCTGTCTGCTGACCCTCGGTGTCTGCCCATGCTCGTTGGGCCCACCACAGGGCAGCGAGTCTTGGCTGTGCTTCAGATCCCTTCGACATCCCCGTCTGCCAGTTGGAGAGCGCTGTCCGCCTAGAGGGCTCGCGCCATTTATTGACTGTCCAAGACGGGCCAATTGCTAGACACCTTCAGTCTCCAGCCACCGTGCAGGGCAGGCATTCCTGAGCCCAGAGCACAGATGAGGAAACTGAGGCTCAGAAGAGGGCAGAGCTGGGGTTCAGACGCAGGTGGGCCTGGCTGGCCCCACAGGTCACACCTACACTTGGGCCACCTGGCCCACTCCCAGGACCCCCTACTCAAATCCTGGGCTCAAGAGACCTTGCTCCATCTTCAGCCTCCCAGTGGCTAGGGCTACAGGCCACCATGGGGCTTCACCTCCTCTGAGTGACAGCCGTTGAGTTTTCTCTTCATTCACAAGTTAGAGCTGATCAAGGGACTTCAGTGATGGGACAGGAGGTGTAAATGCATGGAGGTGGCCAGGGGACATTGGCCAGGGGTCATTGACTCTCGTGATTGTTTCTACACACAGATGGTCAGCAGCGGTCACCCCCCAGTCACAGGGGTTACAGCTAAAGGGCTGCATAGGTCTCCTTCTTATTTCAGACGAGGAAACTGCCACTGGGTCACATGAGCATGTGTCCTCCCAACCCTCCGTCCAGGGAGCCAGTGGTCTTCAGAGGCCAGCAGCCTGGGCAGGTGTAGAGACAGGGCTAGACGGTTTGTCCGGCCCCCTACTGGGAGCGGCATTGCCTGAAGCTCACACGTCTATTCCCACCCGACCCTGGGGAAGCCCACGGAGCAGGCGCATCTGACCGACAGGCCTCCAGCCTGTGGCTTGGAGCAGGGCCATGCCCACTGGGCCTCAGTTTCCACTGCTTTAAGGCTGAGCCTTGGCTTCACGAGGCTCAACTCGTGGCCGGGGTAGGTTCCCTGTAGACAGGGTCCTGGGACATTCCTTAGGGGTTCTCTGGCTGCCTGTGTTGGGGCTACCCTTAAGTGACCAAGACCTGGAGTGATAAGTGACTTTCAAGTTAAACGGGGCTCTGAAAACAGGGATTTCTTCAAGAAAGGAAAGGAAAGAGTCAGCGCTTTTTTCCTGCATGAAAGGCAAAAGCAGCTCTGGAAAAGCTCCCCAAGAAGAGGACTGGCCTGGCCCCCAGCTGGCCCTCTCCCAGCTCTAGAGCTTTGGTGGTTACGTAACCCTGTCCCACCCAAGAATTAGCCAAGACACTGCTCTCCACGACTTGGCCCCTTTGTCCCTGCTCCAGGCACCCCTTGTAGCTTGCAGAGGTCCCCTTGGGCCCTAGAACCCTGGCACGTCCCTTCTGAGCCCATCTCCTGCTCCTCCCAGAGGCCCCGGGCCCAGGGCAGGGGAGCACAGTCCCCTCTCCTTGGGGTCACTTTCTGTGCAGACTGCCATGTCAGCAGGACAAAGGCAAGTCTCATGTGAGCACAAAGGCAGGGGGAGGGGCCAGCCCCGATTTCCATCCCAGCAGGAGCCCAGAGCCAACTTGGCAGAGGAGGCCACTTGAAAAATAAGAAGTACAGTTTGGCTTCCTCCACCAAGTGAGTGAGCGGAGTCCTCGCCCCAGAACACCCTTTCCACGCCAGCGAGGCAGCAGGCGCCCTCCTCCCAGAGCCACACGAAGGCAGCAGGGGCCGCTGCCCCTCAGGCCCTCCACCAGGGAGGTGCTGGCCCAGGAGGCTCTGGCCGCAGGGCCCTGCCCCTGTCCTGCACACCACTCTGCTGTGGGGAAGGGCCCTTGGCTTGCCAGAGGCTGGGCTTTAAGCAGTCGGGGGCAGAGGAAGATCACATGCTCTTAATTGCAAAGTGCCACGCAGCGCAGCGTATTCCAGACGGCTTCAAAGAAAGAAAAACCAGTCATGAGTCCTTTGTGTGCACCTACTAAGGGCCAGCGCAGTGCCCGGAGTGTCCTAGACCAAGTGTCCTTCCAAGAACAAGGGCTGCTTTCCCATCTTACAGAGGAGACAGAGGCTCTGAGAGGACCACACTCCTCAAGGCCTCAGCAGCAGAGGCTGGGATGGGCCTTTGGCCTCCCCAGCAGGCCCTGTCCCATGCCCTTGCTGGGACTGGAGTGGAGCTTTTGTCCTGGGTCACACACCCAGGGAACCCTGGAGGTACCTGGGGTTTCTGTCCTGAGCCGTGGGTAGATCCTCAGTCCTGAGTAGTTGATGTTGTGGTGGTTTTCTTTTTTGTAGCTGTGATGGACACAGTACCTTCGTTTTATTCATTCATTTTTATGTGGTGCTGAGGGTCCAGCCCAGGACCTCACACGTGCGAGCCAAGCGCTCTGCCGCTGAGCCCCCGCCCCAGCCCCACCTGGAGTTCCTAAGTGGTCAGTGAACAGGGGCCAGCAGTGGCCCCGTGCTGATTGTCAGGGTCTGAGCCTGTGCACAAGCTGTCGGTGAGAGGCCTGGTCACCGCCCTCTCCGTCCCCTGAGCCACAGTGTGGGCCAAAATGAAGCCACACTCTTTGTGTCCCCCCCTGCCTGTAGACACACGGGAGGGCACTTGCCACGCAGGTTCCCCACACGGTCCTGGTTTCTCCCAAAGGTGGGGACACTCCTAGGGGTTCTGGATGGCAGGAGTCCCACCCACGGGGACCCGTGAGATGGGGAGTGGGTCCTCGGTGGTCACAATGAGGGCCCCGGCTGGGCCTGGGTCTGAGCCTAGGGTACTGGACCTTCTGCAGGGTGGGGGCCTGGGGAAGCCACCACGACTCTGTGCCCCCCATCCCTAGGAGACAGGCCCTCGGGACCCTTCCACACATTTCCCCCTGAGTTCTCTCCAGGAGGCACGGGTGTGCCAGGGAGGCGCAGGAGCATGAAAGAGTGTGAAGTTTGGGGACCGGGAGGCGAGAGAGGGGGATGGTGGGGAGGAGCTGGACTGTCAGGTTGCGCAGCCCTGGGCCGTTCCCTGGGCTGTCCCCTGGGCCGCTTGCCCAGGTCACGGTCCTTGGTCAGCACAGATGGGGGCCTCCTTCACGGCTGTCCCCGCCTCCCTCTATCAAAACTCGCTGAGGTGAGGCCCCGACAGGTGCTGCGTGTCCTCAGGGACAGGGAGGCTGAGAGGCTGGTCCACAGGACAGAGTGGGAAGATGGCCAAAGACCATGGGGCAGAGGGGAGAGGCTGGGGGGCCCGGGGACCGCAGGGATGACTTCCCCACGTTCTGCGGCACAGAAGGACCTGCACGTCTCAAAAACGCTGGTGGAGGGGACCTTGACACTCCCAGGGCAGGTGTCTGGGGTGGTCAGTGGGCCAGGGACCTGCTCTGTCCCCAGTTCATCTGCGTGTGTGGAAATGTCACACCGTCCCCATAAGCATGTGTAGTTACCACGTGTCGATAAAAATGTGTTTAAAAACTTCCTCAAAACTTTTTGTTGACCCATTCCCTAGTCCCGTACCAGAGCTGTGAATGGGGCGTTGGGGACACTCATGGGGTTACCAAACCAGGTCAAGCACAGACAGGCAGCCCCCGCAGCCCACCCAGGACACCCTCCGGGCTGCACGGCACCTCACAGCTGCCTGATGCTCAGCACGCTCTCCCCTCCTACAGGTAAGATCCTGTTCCGGAGAAGCCACGTCCGGGATGTGGCCGTCAAGCGCCTGGTACCCATTGACGAGTACTGCAAGGTAAGGCTGAGAGCACACGGCCAGTTTAGTCTGTTTTTCTTTTCTGGCTACAAGATACTCGTTATGAAAATTTTTGTACAATTGGAAGAAATGTAAAGTAACTAGAGGGAAAAATCACCCATGATCCCTCAGCCCAGAAGAATCTATCAAGGGTTTTATGTGCGTCTGTGCCATCTTTCCTTTGTGTGAGTGACTCTTTGCAATGTTGAGACCATCCTGTGTGTATACTTTTTTTTGCTCTTCATCTGTTTACTTTGTGACATAAGAATTTCCTCATATAATAGAAATCCCCTTGAGCCTACTTTTAATGACTGCATAGTATTCTACTGTGTGTGAATGTTTGAGAAGTTGTTCTGCCAGCCCTGCTGTCAGGTGGTACAACTGCTTTCCTGTCCCTTGAATATTTGAAACAAGTGCCTGCCTTAGGTTGTATTTCATTTAATTAGAAGCTGTGGTCAGGAAAGAAATATTGAAATCACACACACACACGTATATATAATATGAAACATGTATAATATGTATTAATGGATAATATATATATTTATATTTCATGTGTGTAGTTTCTCTGAGTTTTCACTTCTTCAGGTTAAATAGCTTTAAGAGTAGAAATAAGCAAGAGATGCCTTAAAAATGGAGGGCTGATGATTTCTACCTTAGATGGGTAAGTGAGTATGTTGACCCTCACCACCTCCACCTCCTACTGAAGGAGCAGGCCAGTGTAAGCACACAAGAAAGGAAGGAAAGGCATCTGGGTTGGAAGAAAGGAGTACAATTGCCATGACCCACAGGTGGTGCGAGTCTCTATGTAGATAATCAAGAGATCCATGCAAAACACACAACTAGGAAGTGAGCCTGGTAAAACCCCAGGATACAAGATGAACATACAGAACTCGCTTGCATTTATATGATCTACAAATGAACAATCCAGAAATGGAATTAAGAAAACAATTCCACTCATAATAGCATCAAGAAAGAATAAAATACAGGGCTGGGGCTGGGGCTCAGAGGTGGAGCACTCGCCTGGCATGCGTGGGGTGCTGGGTTCGATCCTCAGCACACACATAGAAGTAAAATAAAGGTATTGTGTTCACCTACAACTAAAAAAAGTAATAAATGTTTAAAAAAATACTCAGAATGACATTCAACAAAAAGAAGTGCAGGATTTTACACTGAAACTACAAAGCATGGCCAAGAGAAGTCAAAGAAGGTCTAAACTAGTGGATAGGCATCCCATATTCATGGATTGGGAGACTCAGCATTGAGGTACTTCTCCCCAAACGGATCTCTGTGTTGACTGTGATTCCTCTTGAAATCCTAGTAGGGTTTGTTTGTTTTTGTTTTGTGTTTGGTTTTTTTTTTTTTTTTTTCCTTTTTAGAATTGACAAGCTGATGCTTAAGGGCAGTTAGAGGAGCCGTGCTGGCCATTTCCAGAGCTCCTACACGCTGCAGTATTGGAGATGCCTGGTACTGACACTGGGGTGGCACATAGATCAGGGCCACAGCACTGAGGGTCAGAAATGAGCTCACGCAAGATAGTATGCTGTCCGCATTCAGTGAAGATGCCAAGACGATTCGGTGGGAAGGGATCGGCAGTCTGTTTATACACAGTTGGGACAGCTGTGTTTATAGTAGTTTCCTAGGGATGTGTAACAAAGCGTCCCAGACAGTGTGGCTTGAACAATAGAAATCCGTGTCCTCGCGGATCTGGAGGCCAGAATTTGGAGCAACAGGGCTTCCCAGGGCTGCTCCCTTTGGCCTGCAGACAGCCTCGTCTCCTCCCTGTGACTTCAGGGAACCTCTCTCTGCACCTGTCCATGCCCTGATCTCTCTTCTTGTAAAGATGCCAGTTACATTGGGCTGCAGGCCATCCTCAATGACTCAGATTACCTCTTTAGAGGCCCTGTCCATCTCCAGGTGAGTCGCCTCCCAGGCTATGGTCAGAAATAAGGAAACTGGACCCTGCCCCCACCAGGTGCAGAAATCAACTCAGATAAATCTAGGAGCTCCCAGGAGGAACCCTCCATGACCATGGATAGGGAAAGAATTTTTTGATATGACAGCGAGAATATCAGGCCTAAAAGAAAAATTGATCAAATTGAACTTCACCAAATCCACTTAAAACTTTTTTTTTGCTTCAAAAGATGCCATAAGACAATGGAAAGGCTTGCCCTCCGTGTCTGGTAAGAGACACTGAGAATGCACCAAGAACTCAAGGGCAAAGGGCAACCCAGTTTTAAAATGGGGAGAAGACTTTCCTCTTACCTAAGAGACATCGGGGTGACTGTAAGACCACGCAGGCCAGCCTGGTCAGTCCTCAGGGCAATGCGGATAACACCAGGCCATGCCAGGCAGCCTGGGCAGTGGCCACAGCAGCAGGGCAGTGGGCGTGGATGGGGACGCAGACCCTGGAACCCTCATCCTGGAGAGGAAAAGCCGCTTGGGAAAACCCTTGGCAGCCCCTCTGCCCCTCCTGGGCATGTGCTCCAGAGCATGGAGACCTAAGGGCAAAGCTTGGGTGCGAATGCTCGTAGCGACCGTGGCTTATGGTAGCCAGACCCTGGGAGCAGCCTGCACGCCCGTCAGCGGGAGAGTGGACAGAAGAGTGTGGGGTCCATGCTGCAGAATGTGCTTGCTCGCATGTCAAACAGCGAAGAGCAGTGATGGGCGCCCCAACCCGACTGATCACCCAAGCACCAGGCTGAGCAGAAGCCGGAGGCGAGACGTGGACCGTGTGGTTCCATGGGTAGTGAAATGTGCTGGTGTGCAGGGGTAAGCCTTTGAGAAGGGGGCCTGGTGCAAGATAACCAGGTCCTGGGGACCCTAGGAAGGGGTGAGTGCTGGTCTCAAAGGGAGATGAGTTCTCTGAGAGCAGCTTGTTACAGAGCGAGGCTGCCCCACCCGCTGAGCCCCTTCTGCACACAGCTGGCTCCTTCCCACTTCTCCATTACGTCCTGATGCAGCAACAGGCTCTCGCCAGGATGCTGGCACCATGCGGTTTGGACCCTCCAGCCACCAAAATGGTGAGCCAAATGAACCTCTTCACCTTATAAAGTACCCAGCCTCAGGTATTTTGCTATAGTACTACGAAAAAGGCTGACACAGGCAGATGATTCAGATTCGTCTCTCTCATGTGTATCCTTAAAAAGGGGTGGGGGTGGGGACAGGGAGAGTCATCCACCTCAAGGATGTCTTTGCTGCCTTCCAACTTTCAGAGGAAAATTCGCGTCTTCACTTTGTCCTTTTCTAAACCTCTGAAGCCTGAAGTTCCCACTCTGGAGACAGCCCTCCTTGCTCAGGCCCTGTGGGGTTGCCTCGCCCAGCTGGGAAGCAGCAGTCGCCCCTCAGCCCAGCTTCCCCGGCCCATTCTCTCCAGAGTCAGGCTCCCTTCCTACCCAGGGGGCCCAAGCCTCCGGGGATTGGATGTTGGAAAGGAAATTTGAGATCCTTAAGCAATAAGGGGAAGCAACAGCTGTGTGCAGCTGTCTGGTACCTGGAAGAACCAGAGATCATCGGGATTAGCCACAGAAGAGACAGCTTGTGTCACGGGAGCCACATGGAAATGTGCAGCCCTGCCAGTAGGAATCGCAAGAGAGAGCAGATATCCGGGGATTGGAGCTGGCCGCATTCCTGGGGCCTGCCCGCCTAGAGGGAGTGGAAATATGCCTTTTGTCACCAGATCTGCCATCCTTCCCAGGCTCCTCAGGATGGTCCTGGCGATGGGTGTCTGGTGGCAACTCGCTGTGAGCCGACTGAAGCCAGTCTGGTCCCAGGGCTCACTTCACAGCGGTAGACGTGGACGCTCCCAAAGGTGCAGGTGGATGGGGCTACGTGTCCCAAACTTGCCCCACATGTGCACACAGCTCACTTCCTGCTCCACCAGGCAGGCGTTCCCCCGACAGGACATTGGCACCTGGCAGAGGAGACACTGGCCTGGAGCTGARGACCAGCAACGGGCCTCACACACCTTCTAACACAGCAAAGACCACTTTGTGGGTCACCAAGGAAAGACAGGATTCCTCAGTAGAGGGACACCAGGTGGGAAAAGGCAGTGACAAGGACTGACCTCCCATGTGGTATCATTTATAAAGTCCTGACAGTGAGAGGCAGCGCCATAAAGGATTTATACACAGGACAGTATCTTCGTCATCTCTAGGGACAGGGGGATTTCCAAAGATGCAAAATGTACCAACCGCTAAAGACTGGTTTATTTGATCCCATTATATTTAAGAACTTCTGCTCATCAAAAGTCCCAACGAGAACCTGACTCTGCTGCGGGCTGCCCCGAGCACTGGCCGCTCGGGCTATCCTGGGAGCGTTGAAATACCCACCGTCTGTGTGATGCAACTTGGCATAAACGGTTCCTGGAGGCAGACACAGGACCAGCTAATCCTAACCCTGGGCTGATAAGAGGCCAGTTCAGGGTCCTAGGCCCAGGGCCCGGTTCTGAAGGATATGTGTGTGACATGGGCTGCCCACAGTGACCTCAGCAAGCAGGACTCTCTCTCATCCCCACATCCGTGGGGGACAAGGTTCCTTCTGGAACCAAGCACACTTTGGCTGGAACCTCAGAGCTCTGTCAACCCCAGGACGCCTCACGGTGCGCAGAGGTCACGTCGGAGGATCAGCCAGCCCGCGACACCAGAGGGTGGCCTTGCGCACACGGCGCTGCCTTTCACTGGTGCCTTGGTGTGTTTCCTGGTGCAGATTGGGTTTGGCTGTTCGTCCCGAGGACAGCCCAAGACCAGAGGAGATTCAGCACTGTCCGGAAGTCTCCATGGGCCTCCCTGTCCCACCCTCGCTGGTCCCCTTGCTCTTCTGCCTTCTCCAGCAAGAGCACCCGGGACCGTCCAAGCCCAGACACCCACCTCAGAGCTCACACCCACACCCACCTGCCGCCCTCCAGCAGGCCCCGTGCCAGGGCCAGGCCTCCTCCTTGTGCTGCTCATCCAGCCTGGTGTCATGGGTGTGCCCAGTGTTATGGAGGGATGCAGGGAAGGCACGCAGCCTCCACGCCTGCCCTCTGTGGGTTTGAGGTAGACGCTGGAATCGGCCAGGCCTGGTCCTTCTCGTCCAGATCACCTCCTCTGAGCCTCTGCTTCCCCGGCCGCCCAGGGTGACATAGGGAGACCGTGCATTCAGGAGCCAGCGGTGCTGAGCCACCCTCAGGAGAGCAGGGATCTCAGCGCGTGGAGGCCACACCACACTCCAGCATGTCATCAGCCCCTTCGTCATGGGCCTGCAGAGGAAGGGGAGACCTATGGGGAGGGGCACAGGCAGCAGCTCGTCCTGGACAGGAGAATGACACTGGCCGCCGGCACCAGGACAAGGAGGAGGCTCAGAAGTAGGAGGGACCTGTCCTGGGACTCTGCCTCTAGCCTGGGACAGGTCAGCCCTGGGGACAGGCTGCAGAGAGGAGCTACTTAATGGCCAATAAAAATATCAGCGAGCCCTTTAGGTCATCATCCTCCACCTGAGAAGGACGAAGAGTGGATAGTGACAGGCCAGGTGCCCACTGTCACTTCACATCTCTCTACTCTAAACCTGGGGCAGGTCACACACAGGGAATTTGGCAAAATTAGAGCCTGTGACTCTGACTCACGTAGGGTCAGCAGCCCAGTGTCCATCAATGGGTGAGAAGCAGCACAGGGAATCCACAGACAGCGGGGCAGCGGCAACCCCAGGAGACAAGTTTTCACATGCTGCAGCAGGGGTGACCCCTGATGGTGGACGTGCTGAAGGAAATCAGCTGGACAGAGAAGGACGGGTTCTGTGCATCCCTCCAAGGAGGGGCCCCAGGGAATTCACAGCCGGTGGAGAGGGCGGGGATAGGGGGTGCTGCTGTTCCATGGCTGAAGTTTTTGTTTTGCAAGATGAGAAGAGTTCTGGGGACAGGAGGTGGTGGCAGCGTCACAATAAGAATGTGCTAATGTCCCTGAATGCACAGTGGGGAAGATGGCAGGTTCCAACCCTGTGTCTTGCACAACTAAACATTTCTGATTGGAGGAGAAAATCACATAGGGTCAAAGTACCCCCAAGCCCTGTGTGAGGTGCCTGTTGGAGATCTCCAGCCCCTCTCCGAGTGGCCCCTCTGCGCCTAGGCCCCCTGCAGGTAGTGCACTTGGGCATGGGACAGTGGGCTTTTAAGGGATGTTAGAAAACACTGGCAAGTCTCCACCCCAGACAGCAGAGTGACACATCTCCACCCCAGACAGCAGAGTGACACGTCCCCACCCCAGACTCATGGCCAGGGTGTATGAAAGGAACCAAGAAGCAAGACCTTCTAGGGCAGAGCAGAAAGCCACCTCACTGCAGAGCCACCACTAGCAGGGTGACAGGGCTGGCTAGGTCACCTGTGATGTGTGTGGGGAGGGGCACTGGGAATTGGGCCCAGGGCCTCACACATGCTGGGAGACCCTCACCCCCAAGCTACCTGCGGCTATCTGTGCAATTTAAATCATGTGTATGCGTGTGCAATGCCCTTCACAGGCTGTGATAAGATGTGCACACCCCAGCTCCACTGCACACAGACCTGTGTCCCCGTCTTCCCCATCCAGGACCTGGGCCAGAGGGACTTCAGTCAGTGCTGGTTAGACTGAGCTGCTTATCAGGAGGCCTTAATTTCAGATCCTTCATGGACGGATGGACTTCTCTCCCATGTGGCGGAGAACCTTGCACAGTGCTGGGCCCACAGGACATGCCCGGTGACACACTGAATGGAACCTGTTGGTGGAAAAACCAGGATGACGATGCCCAGTCCCACGCTATGCCCTCCTCGTGCAGCCCCCTTGCAGGTGCCCTTGAGGCTTCTTCCTATCCTCATGTGGCAGAGTGACATGGAGTTAGCCAGTGGGGGACCCGGGATGAGGCAGCCCTCCGTCGGCCTGGACACCTCCATCGAGCCTCTCTCCACATTCTGAAGCAGCCCCTCGCATAATGCTCCAGTCAGGGAATTCCAGCCCATGCACACGCGTATTGGAAGCTGCCTGATGTCCACCTGTAGGCAACCCGGTGTTTGCACAGCGGATACCCAGTATCCAGGGCCCACAGTCTAGATGCCGGGTGCACTGTTAGTGATAGCATCTCTTACAAACTGGTACGCAGGGTGTGGTCGGATACTGTGTGAATGTGCCCATACACTTTGTCCAGATGTGACCACTATACCTCTGGGCACATATGCACATACACTGTGTGTGTTTCTTAACCCAAAATACCAGCATCACCACTTGACAAAATGCGCAGGCCCTGCCCCCGACCTGCTGAGTCAGGACCTCGGGGCTGGGGCCACCAGGTGATCCCGAGACCTCCGTGTGCAGCCTCGCCACACCTGCTTCCTTCAGACCCCCCTCTCTCCTCTGCAGGCCCTGATCCAGCTGCCCCCCTACATCTCTCAGTGTGATGAGGTGCTGCAGTTCTTTGAGACAAGACCCGAGGACCTGAATCCCCCCAAAGAGTAAGTTGGTCTGTGAGCCCCCTGCATCCTGCCCCGCCTGCCCTGCTGGTCCAGCCAGCCCGGGGGGAAGTAATGTCCAGCCAGATTTCACTGATTCTTCCCTGCAAGGCCTGGCCCCAGGGGGCCTCGCAGTCACTGTGAGGGTCACACTGGTCCCCTTTGGCAGGTGAAAGAAGCTGGCGGGGTTCCTGTAATCCCATAATGCTCTGCAGCACTTGCCAAAGTGTGTTGGGACCCGGTGGGTGGTGGCCCTGTGTGGCAGTGATTCTGGCCGGGTCACCTCACCTCACCTCACCGAAGAGCTAGGTGTGCTCAGGAACTGCAGGCCTGGCCCTTCCCCAAAGTGCTTGGGACCAGGAGTGTTGGGAATCAGGTTTCCTCAGATCCTGTGACGTCACCTGTTCCCAGGGCGGGCAGCTGTGCCGGCTTTGCCTGGAGCAGGAGGCTGGCTGGGTCCAGGGCGGCTTGGCACTGCCTGGCTCAGGGGCGCAGCTTCCCCGGCTCTTCCTCCTGGAGTCGGCCATGGTGCTGGGATCTTCTAAGGAGCCGTAATGGGGAAGGGATTGATCTGCTGGTTTGCTCCAAGTCTCCAGGCACAGTTGGGTCCCCGAGGAGAAGCTGATCTCACACAGGAGCCCTTCCAGGAAGGCTAAGGAGGGGACTGTCATTGTGTGGGCCTTCCAGACAGGACCCCTTCCCCTAAGTCTCTGAGGAGAGGCCAGCGTGGACAGTGTCCACTCATTCAGATGCGTTTGTTACCCAAACTTGCCCATAGCTGAGGCCTGGTGGGCGCTGCTGGAAGGAAGAAAGGGTCAAGCTGGCTGACAGCTTGACCTCAGATTGATCTCAGGAAGGGGAACCCACTGAGACACCCACATAAAACAAAAAGTACAGCCTGGGCTGGAGGAAGACGGCAGAGCAGTCGACGGCTTCCCGAAGGAGTGTCACCTGGTCCCAGGAGGCTTCCTGGAGAGAAGGATTCAGAATCTGGCACCCCTTCCACCTGTGCGACCTTGGGCAGGTGACTGGGCTTCTGAGCAATAGGTGCAGCTCCCCTGCCCATGGCCAGCTGTGAGGTGCAGCAGCCTCCCCCGGGAAGGATGGTGCAGCACCATGGTGGCACCTTCCCCAGAGCCAGGCTCTGGGGGACGGAAGGAAGGTGGCAATGTGTTTGCGGGCAGCTCTGGAGCCCCACAGGCCATCTCTGCTGACCCAGTTGCTGGTTCCGGGTGTGACGAGTGGCCAGGTGACTACTCCACGGGCTTGGTCTCCTGGTCAGGAGCTAGAAGCTCAGACCCAAGTTGGGCTTGAAACGGGGTCTTCTCTGGCAGTGTCTGGCGGGGAGACCAGGGCCGCAAAGGCGCTGTTGCAAGAGGGTTTTGCTGCTGGGGTGAGCACACAGGAGCCCCCAGGCAGGCCACAGAGCAGGTCACGTGCCTGCTCAAGGGCCCTGCTGCCGCTACTACTTGGACCCATGGACCCTGCTACCCGCACTGCCTGCTCCAGCTGGGACGGCGGAGGCACAAGCAGGATAGGAGTGGCCCTGGTCACAGGCCCCAACACCACTCTGGGGGCAGCGTATGCAGAAGCAGCCAGGGAGGACCTCGTGGTGCATCCTGCAGCAGCCACCAAGGGGGACTCCACCCACAAGGACTTCCAGGGGGCTGGCCAGGCCGCACTCTAGCTCCCTGGGCCTCAGTGTCTCCTCCTGCCAGACGGGTGTGTAAATCATGAGGTTTCAGTGAGCAGTGCAGCACAGCTTCCCAACCAGGACCCGGGGACCTGAGGCCCTCCCTGCACCGCATCTGTGAAGTTCCTCCTCATGGAGAGCATCCTCCAGGCCCTGCCCAGTGGCTGCTCCCAGTTTAGCCCCCTGCCCTCCTGAGGATGCCTCAAAGCTTCATTCCATGGTGGTTAAAAACCAGACTTTCAAGTCAGACCTCAAATGGACATTCCCCCAAGAAGACCCCGAAGGGCCGGTAAGCATATCAAGATACACGAGATCGTTAGGAGGGGATGCAGTCCAAGCCTCCGCAAGGTGCCCCTGCTCTCCTGGCCACTGTTGTCAAGGATGCAGAGAAATCGGGGCTCTCACACGTCGCTGGTGCAAAGGTGAAATGGGTGCCGTGGGAAACAGTCTGAAGGCACCCAAAAAACTAGCCCCACATTTATGACTCGACCCAGCAGTTCCACCCCTCGGGATTCCCCCGACATGGACGCTCACAGAAGCATGACTCATGATAGCCAAAGAGTGGGAGCAGCCCAGCTGCCCACAGCCGGAGCACAGATGGACAAAACATRGCCCATCACACGTGGGATGTCCCGGCCATAAGAAGGAGGAGAGAACTCCTTCACGCTGTGACACGGGGGAGCCTTGCAGACATGCTGAGCGGAAGAATCTAGACACAACAGCCACTGTTACGGGACTCTGTGTAAATGAGTGTCTGAGTAGGCAGGTCCGCAGAGACAGCCGGAAGACCTGTGGTGGCCACCGCCGGGAGGAGGGGGACGGGAGGTGGGGGACGGGAGGTGACTGCTACCTGAGTCTGGGTTCCTTTTTTGGGCGATGGAAGTGTTCTGGAATGAGATAGTAGTGATGGTTGCAAAACCCTTTGACTCCGTGAAAAACAAATCAATTGTGTACTTTCCAAGGTTGAGTTTTATGGTTTGTTAATTATCCCTCAAAATTTTTTTTAATTTTTGATATATTGATTCTATCCTATTTTTTGGTGCTGAAGGTTGAACCCAGGACCTCATGCACAGAGCTACATCCCAGCCCTTTTTGGATTTTATTTTGAAACAGGGTCTCACTAAGTTGCCCAGCTGGCCTTGAACTTGCCCTCCTCCTGTTCCAGCTTCCCACACCCAGTTGTCCCTCAATTTTAAAACATTTAGGTAGACCTGGCTTACCTTACCAGCTGTGTGACCCTGGGCAGTTACCTGACTTTTCCTGATCCCATTTTCCTGGTCTGTAAAATAGAGACAAAGTAACACTTATTTCCCAGGGTGTCCTGAGTTTTAAGTGAATGAATGGCCCGAGCCACTCAGGTCCTGGCAGAGGGCTGCATTTCATGATCATTGAATGATGGCACCAGTGCCACAACTCCCAGCCTAGCCCAGCCACTGGAACCTGCTCATTGTCACTAATGAGATAATTAAGTGCTACGTGAACCCTGATTTTTAGTATTTGCAGTACAGCTGTACCTACAATCTCCGACCTATATGTACAAACGTATGAGCTGTCAGCCTCATTCCCTGTGGATTCCAGCCTCAGCAGCGTCCCAGGTCACCTTCAGGGAGATGCACTGTGAGCGCTGCTCTCCCCACTAAGGGGCAGAGCCTCTGCTCCTCCAGCGAGGCAGGTGCCAGGCCCTGTGCACTGTGGGGTGTCAGGGCTGTTGCAGACTGTGTGGCCCTTCAACTCTGCCTGGGCCCCTCCACTCTACAAATGCTTGGGAACACTGGTCCTCAGGGTACCAGAGCACTTATCAGGTAAAGGGAGATAATTAAGAGGATTCTTTCTGTTTTTAAGAAATCGTAGGTCCCTGGGGTTGGCTTGGATTTCATTCACTCACTGACGGTGCTGTGGGATGGAGAATTCGTTTTCTAACAGAATTTTCCTGTCAGTACACGACAAATACTAACTATTATTCATGATTCTTTCTTGCCCCCATTCTTTCCTGTACAGGGAGCATATTGGAAAAAAGAAATCTGGTAAGAATATTTTCCATTTTCCTCTTTTCTCTCTCTCTCTCTCTCTCTCTCTCTCTCTCTCTCTCTCTCTCTCTCTCTGTCTCTCTCTTTCTTTCTTTTTTTTAATTGAACCCAAGGGCATTCTGCTACTGAGCTATATCCCAGCCCTTTTTATTTTCTTTTGAGACAAGGTCTCACTAAGTTTCCCAGGGTGGCCTCGAACTTGTGATTTTCCTGCCTCAGCCCCCTGGAATAGCTGGGATTACAGGCATGTGCCATCGTACCCTGCTCATTTTCTTCTCTTCAATCAGTGTTTAGCATACTCCTTCTAAGTACCTGCCAGGTGCAAGGGCTGTGTTCCACACTGGGGATGTAGCCATGTGGATGGAAGGATGGATGGATGGGTAGCTGGGTGGATGGATGGATGGATGGATGGATATCTGGGTAGATGAATGGATGAATAGTTGGATAAATAACTGGGTGTGCATATGAATGGAAGAGGACTGGCTGGCTGGGTTGATGCTTGATTGATTGGTTGATACTCCAGCATATTTCCTAAAAGAAAGATTTGGGGTCATTTTACCCTACAAAAAAATTACAAAGGGTATGATGTCTTTTCCTGAGATCCCTCTATGGAGTAGCGGGTAGGCGTCTTCCTGGCCACACTATCAGGGGTTAGAGGCCGTTACATAACAACTTGGTAAGCTCAGAGTGTTCTTCAGTGCTGGAAGGTCAGAAAGGAGGGATGCTGGATTATAAGGAATGAGCAGAAGCGTCCACCCAGCAAAGGGCATTCTGGGCGGAGGGGACAGCGAGCCCCCAGCTGGCAGGCAGGCATGAGCCGCGTATCTGGACCTGGTCCCTCTGACACCACAGCACCAGCCCGGCCTCTGCTCTGCTCCAGTCAGCCATGTCTGGACCCTGGCTCACACATATCCAGCGGTCCCCATGCTCACTTCCCTTTCCCTGCAGTGACCTCTGCCCTTGCATAACAATTTTCCCATTTCTTGGACAACACAATTCTTCCACCAGAATCAACCATGGGAAAGGAGAAGGCAGGGACCCAGGGCAGGCGCTGAGTTCCCACGGGCCTGGGCTGAGTCAGAGTCGACATCAGCAGCAGCCCTATTTTGTCTTCCCACCACCCAAGATCACCCCTGCTTCTGCAGAAGCTGACCCATGCCAGACCTGGAGCCAGTGCGTCTCCAATGCATCCAGAATTCTAACCTCTTTAATTTCCTAGGACTCCAGGGAGGTAGAAGGGGGTTGGTGGGGATGGTGGTGGGGCTTGGCACAAGCAGAGATCCCAGAAGTGAAACGGAGGACTTCTCTCCTGGGCCTCGGTTTCCACATGTATTATTATGGGACAAAATAATACTGTTTTCTAGGATTCTTATAAAAGTTACAATATGCCTTCAATACTTAGAGTAGGATCATGTCCAGTGGATTTGTATTACTCCTGCTCTAACTGAAAGCGTGTGGATGCCCCTGCCCAGCATCAGCAGCGGTTCCAGATTCCGTGGCTCTGGTCAGTTGCCTCCTGGGTCTGGGGCCTGTGGTCAGCTTCAAGGGCTCCAGGCCGTCACTGGAGGAAGGTTTGGGAGCCTCGCCTCTGGAGCAAACCCTGGCATCTGCTCAGCCAGTGTCCCACTTTCTTCCTGGTTTAATAGGCACTGGCCAGGGCTGTGGCATCCTGCTGAAGCTGCAAATAGCTCCCGAGCCCCAGGGATAATTACCTGTTTCTTAGAAAAGGGCAAAGAGGGGCTGCCACTCCTGGGCTGGTCACAGAGTTCCTGGCTTTGACTATGCAGAGACTTTCCTTGGAAGGAACGGGTGGGAGGGAGGGAAGAGAGGAAAGAAACAGCTCTGGTTTGTGAAAACCAAAGTGCCAGTTGGAACAGGCTTGATGAAGGGAATTGTCTGGAAAAGAGAGAGACGGCTCTAATTTGTGGTAACCTCTGTTGACATCACTCACCTGCAGTGGGGGGGTGGATTTATTTATAGTCCAGCTGGGTGGAAAATGGCACCTTTCTTCATTCACACCAAGAGCCCACGCTGGGCTCAGCCTTATGTTTTATCTGACCTTTGAACACTGCCCTTATTTTAGAACCTGCTTTCTTGACTGAATTTTAAAGGATTTAAGATGAGCAGACTTAACTCCCTGAGATTTCTGAGCCAGCACCCTGAATTGGAGGAGGATTATCTTCTCAGCATTTCCCAGTCATGACTGGCTGGCTGGCTCTTGCAGACTTTGGCTAATGTGGTTTCGGATTCTGCTCATCCTGTAGGAAAAACATCTTCTCACCACCATTTAAAAGATCCCCTGATTGCTTAAGGGGTGTCTTTCTGCTTGATTGTTCTATCCTTTACTTATTAAGTATTCTCTTGTTTATGGATTTTTCCAGCAAGCCTTGCAAAACAGTGAATTTCTGGAAGGAAAATCCCACTTTGCCTTTACTCATCATTTTAAAAACTCAACACATGTCATCACAAAGGAAAAAAATAGGCACTATACCATTTGAGAAAGATTTTTAGCACTTAATGATGAAAATCATCCTTCTACTGTCAAATCTCCTTCCTCTTGACTTCTTCCCTCTGTTCTGTTTCCTGCTGGACCACGTGACATTTCTCGCCTGAGAATCCTCTGATTTCACACTTGGCATGTCCTGGAACTTAGCTGCTTATCCCAGCTTCAAGGTACTGCAATTATCATTCATTTTAGAGCTTGGCTGCAATGCCACACTCCACCAGGAGGTGTCTCCATGCAATACCGGAGTGGCTTCTGGAGGTCAGTGGAGACCGTAAGACTCCTGATCTCAGGACCCTATGCAAGGGGCACAGTTGGCTTGGGAGCACTGTTGTCCTGGAGGCTAGAAGAAGTCAGCCCTTAGCCTGACCTCTGGGGAGGTGGCAGATGAGGAGAGGGCTGCCAGTAGTGAAGATGACCTTTGAGAGCCATAAGGAACTAAGGCTTGGCTTGACTGGACCCTGGGAACTCACAGGGAAGGATAGCCAGCAGGCCTCAGGCCATCCTTCCTTCCCTGTCATCTTTTCTTTCCTCGCCCACCTCCTGGCCATACCCTCCCACACTGGAGAGCGTTGGAGCCAGGTGCACAGTCTGGCTTTGACAGTAGCTAGCTACATGACCCAAGTAAGTCACGTCATAACGCTGAGCCTCTGTTTTCTTGTGTGAAATTCAGGGCTGGTGGCACTATCTTCCAGAGCAGCAGTGTTGGGACATCGGTGTGCAGGGTGCAGCTGGGAGAGACGTTCTCTGAGGCTGCCCCGATCCCATCTTGTAACCCTCCATCTTGCATCTGCTCCCTGTCCTACTTCCTCTGTCCTCCTGCTTTCTCCACCCAGGGTGCAGGTAGCAGGGTTCTCTCTGCCTCCATTTCCCAGGCAGTGGAGACAGTGGCTGGAACACAGTCACATATTCAAGAAGCAGCACCCTTTGCCAGAGGAGGCCCACACCACACTTCACACCACACAGGGCTGACGGGGGCTTCCGAGCTCCTTCTGGGTGCCAGTGTTGTGCTGGCAAAAACCCCGCCACAGCTCTCCGCGGAGGAACCCAGCTCTGCAGCCTCCGCCACTTGCCTCCATAGCCAATTTCAAGCTGCCAACAAGATGTCACCCCCCCCCAAGTTGGAAAGAGACGCACAAAATCAGCTCAGGGTGCGCGACTCCCACGGCACTCCACTGCTGGGTGCATTTGGACAGGAAACAGGGATCCTGGATATCTACATGATTTGTGGAGATTTATTTTGTTGATTTATGTTTATGTGGTGCTGAGGATGGAACCCGGTGCCTCACACGTGTGAGGCAATGCTGACCCACTGCCACAGCTCCCCTCCCCCACCATAGGAATATTTTAAATCTGAACTGTGGCCATGAATGTCCCGCTGTCCTCCCCCAGAGCTGAGCCTGCTGCTCCAAGTCACACCACTGTCCCCTCTCTTTGGAGTCCCTGAACTCAGGTGTCCCTTCAGTTTAAATCACCTGTATCCTATGGTGTCTTTCCTGTGCTTATCAGCTCTGTCCTGGTGTGGAGCACTCCAGGGGCACTGGGGCCCCTCCACACCATTCCCTTCCCACTGCCACTGCCCTGGTCCAAAGCCACTGTCACCTCCTGCCTGACCTCTGCCTGGTCTCCATCGAATCTCCTGCTGTCTTTCTTGCCAGCCTGGGCTCCGCCCTCCATGAGGTGCTTTCTGTCCTTCTCTTCTTAACGACCCTCGATCCCCTTTCTCCTGCAAAGTGAAAAAAACAAAACCCTCTTAGCTTGGCCCTCCAAGGCCCTGTCCAAGCCGCCTGCTGAACTCAGCACTGCTGCGGGCCCCAGCCCCTGGCGCTCACCCCCTCAGTGCAGACTCCTGCACTGCTCCTCTGACCACCTTTGGTACAGCATCATCAATTGTCCCCTGCCTGGATCCTGGCGGTTTCCAGCAATTCCTCTCCCTCGAGTCCTGCGTGTGTCTATCTCTCCAACCAGCCTGAGGGGTAGAGGCTGGACTCACGCCTGCCTCATCCACTTTGGTACCCATGGTGCCCAGTGGAGTATCTGGAACATCATGGGGACTTAACAAGCTAATAACAGATGAATAAATTTGGGGCAGTCAGGTGTTGGGTGATGATGAACAGATGTTGGCTTGATGGCCGTGGACGGCTAGGTGGTTGAAGGCATGGTGGCTGGCTGGGTGGATAAGAATGAATGTGTCCTAGTCCATGTTCAGATGCTATAACAAAACCACAGACTGGGTTATTTATAGAGAAAATATATTTCCCAAGTTCTGGAGCCCAATAATATCACAGTCTGGCACCTGGTCGGGGCCTCATTGCCACAGCATAACATGGCGGAGGCATCGAATGGCAGAAAGAGTTGGCTGGTCCCCCGTCATTCACCTGGTGCCATGACAAATACCTCCGTCCATTCTAATTATCTGCTAAAGATCCACCTCCCGACACTGTCATAGTGGCCGTTGCATTTCCATTTGACTTTTGGAAAGCACATTTGAACCACTAGCAGTGAGCTCCTGCTGGGCCATCAGCTTCTTGGGAGCAGGTACCATGTGTCAGTCACCTCGGGACCTCTAGGGCTTATTCAGAATGGGCACTTGGTGAGCTTTGGTGGCTGAGTGAGCAGATGGATAAAGGGATGCATGGATAGGTGGCCCTGGAGAGGAGTCCTGTGACAACTTCCTTCTCCATTGGGAACGTCCTGCTGACCCGCCGACTCCCCTGGCTCCTGCTCCTTCACCCTTGGGTGGTGGCCAGAAGTGACATCTGATTGCATTTCCTGTCCACAGGGGGAGACCTGACCTCAGTGGACCCCATGGTCCTGGAGCAGTATGTGGTGGTGGCCAACTACCAGAAGCAGGAGAGTTCAGAAATCAGCCTCAGTGTGGGGCAGGTGGTGGACATCATCGAGAAGAACGAGTCAGGTAGGGACATAGGCCAGCTCCCTCCCACCCTGCACTGTCAGCGAGCCCCTTGGACTGAAAGTGCCTGGAAACTCAGGGACAAATCACCAGTGCAGCCCGGTGCATCTCCCCAGGTTCAACTGAGGCCTCCCAGGCCTAGGATTGATCATAAGGCTCAAGTAACCACTTGGCCACCACTTGCTAGCGTCCCACTGGGTCAGGTGTCAGTGATTTGTCCTGAGGTTCATGTTCCTTGCACCCTCCCGGTCCTCAGGCACAGGGAGACACAGCTGGGCTTACACTGGAGATCTGATCATTGATTCCTCCATGGGAGTCCAGGAAGGGTTCAACAGCTCTGGGCTCAGTGTCCCTTAGCATTGCTGCCCTCAGGGGACTGCAGGACACTTGGCTTGTGTTTCCTCCTGACTGCCACGTCTCACAGTTATCCAGCCTGCCTCATTCATCTGGCCATCAGGTTCCTCATCTGCAAAATACAGAAAACTCCCCCAGAGAGCCTCTGGGAGAATTCAGGGGATACGCAGACGGAGGGCCTGAGCCTGCGCCTGGCCCATAGTAGGTGCTCCCAAAATGTCCATGGCCTCAGGGCAGCCTTGCATCATGACGGCAAAGAGCGGGAAGAAGGAAGGGGCCAGAGAGGCCTGTGTCCTCCCTGGGGGCCATGGCAGATGGTGGCAGGGCTGATAATGTCATCAGGGACCCGACTCTGTGATAACCCCGTGGGCAGCTGAGGTCCAAGGAGCAGGAGGGAGACATATGTGGCCAGCATCTGTGGGTCACGTTACCCTTAGTCACGTTGGGTGTGAGACCTCAGCTGCTCAATCTAGGAATTGTCCCTGCTCCAAAGAACAGGGGATGGCGATGTTCCTGGCATCCCCTAGATCACATTACCGCCAGCCACGGGACCGCGTTTGCTGGCCAGACCTCCTGAATTACGCAACCCAGGAAGTGTCATCTCTGCAGGACCCAGGAACGCGCTACTCCCAGCTCATCTCGGTTTCTCCTGAGACTTGCTCACAGTGCACGCCCTTTCCTAGGGATGCCGAGTCTGGCATGAGGCCTCTCCAGCAATGGCCCCAGCAGCTGGACATCCCTTGACATGCACAAATGCAGAATCCAAGTCCCGGAGAAGCCATTAGACTGTGCCCCAGTGACAGACATCCCGGCACACAGCCCTGCCCTGCCACCGCCTGGTGGATGTGGACCTGGGTTCGCCCCCTCTGTGCGGTGGGCTGGTGGGTGCTGGCTCTGAGACGGTGGGATGAGGGCCCGCCCATGGTAAGCCTTCTCCATTCTCCCTGAGCTGCCCCTTCTCTCCCTGTCCCAGGCTCGGGAACAAGTTTCTCTCCGGCCTGTTTTTGGCGGTGAGCCGCTGACCTGGGCCGTCGTGTCCTTCCGGGATTCCTGGCTCTTCAGCCTCCCTGAGCCTTAACTAACGCAGCAGCTGAGACTCAGCGGCCTCCGTGCCCCTGGCCCGCATCCCCAGATTCAGCCAATGTTCAGGGCAAAAAGGCATCGAAACTGATGACGTCCACACTGCTTCCTGTCACTATCCCTAAACAGTTCCTGGAGCCACTATTCACATAGCATTTGGGTCATGTGAGGTCTTGTAGGTCCTGCAGAGGTGATCTCAAGGGGACCAGGAGGTGATCGGTCATGTTGTTACTGCCCCGTCTTGTACAAGGGACTGGACGTCCTCTGGACCCTCGGGGTGCTGTGGCCAGTGCCTGGGTGCTGGGGGACGCCTATGATCCCGTTCTGAGCCCACTGACGTCTCTGCTCTCCGTCCCCAGGTTGGTGGTTCGTCAGCACGGCTGAGGAGCAAGGCTGGGTCCCTGCCACCTGCCTGGAGGGGCAGGACGCTGGGCAGGATGAGTTTTCCCTGCAGCCTGAAGAAGGTAGGGAGCCTGGGCAGCTGCTGCCCTGGATCACAGGAGGCCACGGGCTCGGCCCAAGGGCATCCTATGGATGAAGCCCGCTGTGGGGTGTGCAGGAGGCCGTCCGTCCTTTCTAGGGGCCTTTGAGAGCCCCTGGGGTGAGCGTGGCCAAGCTGGGCCTGATGCCTTCATAGACCCTCAGGAGGGCCCCAGTCTGATCCAGGTCCACCCCTCACTGTGCCTCTGGAGTTCTGGTGGCAGGACACTCGGATTCGAGATCTTTGACCCTGCCTGCTTAAAGATGTCAGCTCTCTGCAGGTGTAAATGGCCCTGGCAGTGTCCATGCTCCGTCTCCCCGGCACCCTTCCCTACAGGGGTCCTGACACCTGTCACACTGCAAGGCTAAGGCTCCCTCTCCCCCAGTAGCTTCCTAAAGCCAAAGCCCCCCTTCACCTGCATCAATAGACGGGTGCCATGGAGCCAGGCGGACTGGACCTGAATCTCAGCTGTGCCACACGCTCAACTGAGTGGTCTTGAGGCAGACATTTGACCTCTCTAAGCCTCAGCCTCCTCATCTGATAGTGGACAGAGTGGTATCTATAACATGGAGGTTTTAAAAAATTAAAAGAAATGCTAAATGCAAAGCAGCAGGAACAGTAATCACGGGCAGGCACTGGACCAGCCGCCCTGTGCCTTTGCTGGTCCTGGACCCCGGGGAGGAAGCACAGAGCCACCTGAAGTCTATATGCATCAGAAGAGGGGGCAGGGCAGGGACAGTGCACACCTGTGACCCCTGCAACAGGAGGATCACAAGTTTGAGACCAGCCTGGGCAACTTAGCGAGGCCATGTCTCAAAATTAAAAATAAAAAAGACTGGACTATATAGCTCAGTGATCACTGCCCCTGGGTTCCGTCCTCAGGATTGCCAAAAACAGGGTAAGAAAAAGGAGTGGTGCCCTCAGCTCAGAGGTCAGCAAGAGGGGTTGCCCGTGGCTTTCATGTAGTCAGACCGCAGCCAGCACGCCTCAGAGCTGCTTTGCTCTGTGTCTCGGGGGCCCACTGAGTGGTAGGGGCCAGCCAGCTCAGGCTGAGGAAGGAGGTCCACTACATGGGACCTGGAGCCCCTTAGACAGTCCATGATATGGCGTGTGTGTGCCTCTGTGAGGGCCTGAGTACTGCTCCCACCTCACAGACGGGGAAAGGGTTCAGGGAGGTAGAACAACTTGCCCCAGGTCACACAGCTCGAGGGAGGCAGAGAGGCCATGTTCTCCCTCCTCTCCCACAAGGGTTTCCCTTGGTGCCATCTCCACTTGTGCTAGGGATAGAATCGTATCCACTGGTCCCCTCTCCACTCAAGTTCAAGGTGATCAGCAGGTGCTCGGCCTCCCTGAGACTCGAGGGCCTCAGCACTGACTCAGGATTCCTCTCAGGGAGCAGGGGCCTGTGCCCCCTTGGCCCCCGGACACTTGGGTGCCCTCTTCTCACCTCTGTCTCTGCCCTCCCCTCCACATGCTGCCCGTCCAGTCTCCTGGAGGTACTGGTCTTTGCCCCGGCCCGTGGGCCGCCGCCGGACGCTGGGGGACTTGTACTCCTCCAGCTGGCGCCAAGGTGCCTACCGCGGAGTTGTCTGCCCGTTGGGTGCCTGGACATCTGCATGAGCCTCTGCCCGGCACTGCCCGTGCCTGTTGCATGTGAGAAGCGCTGGTCTGTCCTCCTGTGTGTGTGTGTGTCGGCATGGGGGTCAGGGAGGGGGAGCCCGAGCCCTGTCAGCCCCGGGCCCGGAACTTTCCCAGTTTAAAAACCGTAACACTGACCCCGCAGCCTGCTCCTGCCATCGGGCCTTCTGAGTTGGGTGGACAGAAGCAAGGTCTATTCACTCATGTCCCTGGAAAGCCCAACGGAGGGCTAGCTTCAGGCATGACTTTATCCAGGGGCTTGAGAATGTTCTCAGGACCTGCAGCTCTTGCCACCTCTCTGCCCTGCTCTCTGCCTTGTTGGCCCCATTCTCTGTGGTGACAGTAGTTCTAGGCACCTTCAGGGACATCCACCAAAGATAGGGCTTCTCCTTCAACTCAAGCCCTAGGATTGGGTCCTGCTGACCCACCTGGGTCCCCTGGCATCCCTGAACCAGTCCCAGAGGTGGGAGGGTGCAGCACTGAGGCTGGCCGGGCTCACCTAGCCACTCCCTGCCCCAGGAGGTAGGAAGCCTGGCCTCCCCAGCCTCCCATGGGCAGAGGCTAGCAGGCCACCAGGGGAGGGCACATGGGTGCCAGACAGGCCACTTCAGCACCCATGACACTCCTACAGGGACTTCACTGCACCTGTCTGGAATTGCTCGGCCTCCGTGGTCCCAGAGAGGGCCTTGTGGGTGCTGGGGAATCCCGTGCCATGCAGCCACAGGGTGAGGGGACCCGGGAGACCACGGTCAAAGGGCTGACTGCGCCCACACTCAGGCCCACACGGCAGCCCTGAAGCCCAGACCAGGCAGAGCCTCTGTGCAGCCTGAGCGCCCCCTTCCGCTGACCACGGCCGGCGCCCAGCCTCGGCTTCCGTGGGCCTGGGAGCCGCTAACTGCTGAGGATCCGTGCAGACTGCTGCCCCCACAGAGCAAGTCACCGGCCAGGTCCTCACACAGACCCCAGTGCTCCCTCCTCTCTCTGCAGCAGGGGGTGGCCCCCATGGCTTGTAGCATTTCCAGAGACACCGAGGCCACGCCAGCATACAGCCTTGGCACTGGCTCCATCACCTGGTGACTGAACTGTACCGGAGCTGGCAGCCTCCCCTCTCCTTGCCAGGCCCCAGGATGGCATCCACATCTCTCCACTTCTGCCCCAGGGCTGGCCTTACTCTCTGGAGCCCCTGCCTGGGCAGCAGTGAGCAGCGCCCCGGAGCCTGGCTTCGGGCTGCACGCTGCTGGGGACCCAGGGCCTCGAGCATCGTTAGTGAAAGGTCAAGACCTGCTGCCAGCTAGGGAATAGATGTGGCTGGTCGTCCCCACCTCAGCTGAAACTTCTGCTGCCCAAGTCCAGCTCATCTCTGAATTCTCCCCTCTCCCAGGCGAGGAGCCCCAAGGGTATAACTGGCCCTGTGTGAGCCAAGTGGCTCCAGCCGGCCTGGGGACTTGTCCAGTTACTGAGTGCTGGCTCCTTTACCCGTGAGCAGCGATATCCCAGGCTCATGCCCAGTGCTAGGGGAGGGACTGGCCGGGGCGGACACAGCTCGGCTCCTGGGTTCACAGTCCAGCAGAGCTCACAGATGCAGGACAGGATGCGCAGTGTGTGCGTCTTAGAAAGCCGTCCCTGGACGGGCCATCAGCCTGAGGACAGGGACGCGGATGCCACGGGCTGGAATATTGCATGAGGTGGTCGAGGACACTGACCTTGAAGGACAGTCCTGGGAAGGGGGGGGGGGGAGTGCTGCTGGTGCTTTCGAGGGACTGGATCTGCCCTGGGACCTGGGACCTGGGTCCTGATGCTGCTGGCACCTAGGGAACCACAGCAGGTGAGGCCAAGTCTGCCTCCGCGTCACCCCAGGGATCAGAGTCCTGGGACACTTTGTTTCTCACCCAATGTCCTTTCTCCCTCAGAGGAGAAGTACACGGTCATCTACCCGTACACAGCCCGCGACCAGGATGAGATGAACCTGGAGAGAGGGGCCATGGTGGAAGTCATCCAGAAAAACCTGGAGGGCTGGTGGAAGATCAGGTACTGCCACTGGTTCCCGCTGTCGCGGGTGGTTTCAGGGTCATGCAGGCTCCAGCCTCCAGGTCTATAAGTGATTGCAGATGAGGGAAGTTTCTGCCTAGGCCATGGAAGGACGCTTCTCGGTGCCGTTGGCCTTCTTCCCTACCCACGTCCTTCCCTAAAAACCCTTAATAAGCAAAATTGCCTTCTCCAAACACATGGAGCCTGTCAGCGGGAGCCCTGTTAAGCAAGACTGGTCTCCATCTCCAGATGTTCTGTGATGAGTGACTGGAGGCTGAGGCTGCCCACGTGAGTAGTCGCCCGCTGCAGCCCCACTGAGACCATGTGGTGCAAACCCCGCACCATGGTCACCCTCCTCGGGCCTCTGGTTTCATTTATCCCCAGATCCAGCTGCAGGGCAGGAGGCTGCACCCGGGCACTTCCTTAGCCTGCGGTGGAGCCGAACAAGCCCCACTGTTTCCCCAGCAAGAGCGAGAGGGGATAGTCACCACAGAGCAGGGYGGCAAGGCTGCCAGAGTGCTGGGGGGACATGGGGGGTGCTGGGGTGCAGTGAGGGGGGCTCCCCCGCTCAGGGGCTTCCTGAGGGAGGGGACCTCAGAGCTGAGACACAAGGGAGTGAGGAGGACAGTGTCAGGACGTGTGGTCACCAGCCACAGCAGGGTTGCAGGGACAGCGGAGACCACAGGGACACCAATAGGAGTGCCCTGCAGCTTTCTGCGGAGGTCCCATCCTCTGGTGGCACTGTGACCCTGACGTGGTAGTGGTGCGCTGTGCCTTGGCCATTCCTGTGAAAGTGCAGCACAGCCGTGGGCCTCCACGGTACTTGGCAAAGGTCACAGACACCTGTGCTGGCCACCATGTCCCTGTACTCCCTGCTCTCAGTGCCTCCACGCCAGGCTCGCTGAGCCCAGGGCTCCTGTGTTTGCACCCTCTCTGGAGTCCCCGTTTTCTCTTGCTGGTGGCCCTGGGAGCAGGGGGCTGCATGGTGCGTGGCGGCTGCACCTCCTGGTGGCCTTCGCCCAGCACTGGGGCCGCTGGGCACATCCCCGGTCCATGTCACAGTGCTGGGAAGCCAGTCATCCTGGAACCAGGGGGCTGGCACTCAGGAGCCACTGGGTTGCACCTGGTCTCCCAGGAGGTTATGGTAGGATGGCCGACAGGGCAGCCGAGCCCGTGACTCAGGCTCAAAGGACCCTAGGAAAGCTTCCGATTGCGTGCTTCCTCCCCGTAGCTTCTGTCCCTGCGTGATGACCTGTCTGCAGCTGAGGATGTGGAGCATGTGCAGCCTAATGTRGACCAATTAGGCCAGGTTTTATTCCCTCTCAGAATACTCGAAGGCTGAGGGACGCTAAGCGGTGGCCTGCCACCTCCTGGTGGCCTGTGGTCGTGGAGGCCTGTTCTCATTGAACCCAGGGCTGTGACCCCCTAAGTGGCTCTTGACAGGAGAGTGGCCCACCACTGGCCGTCTGGTCTGTTGGGTCTGTTCCTCTTTCCCAGAGGCGAGGCTGGCTGCCCGTACTGTGGGTGCTGGCCAACGCCGAGCCCACATGCTCTGAGCAGTGACGTTGGACTGTTTCCTCTGTCCAGGAGGCCCCCTCCAGTCATGGCTGTTGATCTCAGCCCTGCTGCACAGAGGACTGAGTGGCCACTGCACTTGGTGTGTTTTGTCTGGGTGCCGTGAGCTGCTCCGTCTGGGACCCGGGCAGCCCACAGTTGAGTGGCAGCTGGCCCAGGCCGGCTCCTCGTCCCCTGGACAGGCATCTCACCCAAGGTGAAGCAACCTGGGTGGGGCTGAGCTCTGCACCAGCACAAGGCTGTCGGGAACAGGCAGCAGCCAGGGGGTCTGGATGCCCACCTGCCAGGCTTGCCCGTGATGTCGGCTGGGCGCTTCTCCCCTCGGCACTCGGCCTCCATCTGTAAACAGACTCTATCCGCACCGGGTGTGTGGAGGATTTCAGAGGTTTGAGTTTTGGAATAGTGGCACGTGTGGACTGAGGTGACTCAGGGACGCACCTGAGTCTGAGCACGGAACTCGTTCGCGTCTCAGAGGCACCTGTTCACAGAGCCTCGAGATTTTGTACGGTATTTTGGGTGCACCTGCATCTCCACTGCACCCATCACCTGAGGGCAGGTGTAGACGTTTAGGCTTCAGACTCTGGAGCATGTCACCCGGGTGGGTGGGGGCGCTCAGCCTGCCTCCTCTGCCCCCAGGTCAGCTGGGATTAAGTACAGAAGTGGTACGAGGGCAAGGGGCAGGCTGCCAGGGGAGGTGCCCATGAGGCCGGCCTCCTTGCCACGCTGTTGTCCTCACCGCAGGGTTGCGAGGGGACCACTGTGAAGCCGTCACAGTGGTTGTGACAGGTCTATGGCGGTTCCCTCAGCACCATGCCCACTGGCATGTCCGCCATCCTCCTGTTCCCCCTCAGCTCACACACCCAGGCACCAGTGTGGACTTAACTCACYGTGCCCTCCCCAGCACTTCATTCCAACTGGGGACAGCATGGCCTCAGCTGGTGCCACCGCGTGTCATGGCACTGGGATGGCAGAGCCTGCTGGGACATGAGGGCAGCGTGGAGGTGGGCCTCCTCCCCAGGAGGGTGGGAGAAGCTCTCGTGAGGAATGGAATCGAGCAGAGCCAGGAAGAAGAGGGACAAGCAAGGATCACCAAGGACAGGATGCGCCGGGGTCAGAGGCAYGGGGCGTTTAGGAGACTGCAGCCGGGCAGGGCAGTGGCCTGGAGGCTGCTGTGTGAGGCCATCAGAGGCCCCGTTGGAAGGGCCTGCAGTGCCTGGCAGAGGGCTCAGTGTCATCGGAAGGCCTGGCCCTGGGCAGCCTGGCCTGTTGTTCCTACCCGCTGGGGCCTGAGCGTGACTCTCAGCAGGAGCCTGGTGACCTCCCATGGGCCTGACCATCCCCTTCCTCCTCCTCCCAGGTACCAAGGCAAAGAGGGCTGGGCCCCCGCCTCCTACCTGAAGAAGACCAGCGGGGAGCCCTTGCCCCCGAAGCTGGGCCCCGGCTCGTCTGCCCCCTCGGGCGCCCTCGACCTGGACGGCGTCTCCCGGCAGCAGAGCGCAGTGGCCAGGGAGAAGGAGCTGCTCAACAATCAGAGGGAAGGCCGCGCAGCACCCGATGGCGATGTCCGGCAGAGTGAGTGACTTTCCCCCTGACCAGAGTGGTCTTCTTGTGGACCCCGAGTCCCAGAGCTGGGCAGCCTGGCTCCAGGGTGAGGCCCCCAAGCACAGGTGTGTTCGGCTCTGCTCACCTGGGGCATTGTTCAGTCTGGGCTTCCCCTGGCCACGAGCCAGGCCCAGTGACATCTGTTGCATGCCCACCGCTGGCCAAGAGCCTTGGCAATGTTTACATCCCCTGCCCAGGAGGTGCACGCTGTGCCTGTTCCACAGGACATGGCCTTGTGGTCCAGAGAGTCCAGTCACCTATTTGTCCTGTGCTGAGGCCCTCGAGCCTTGGAGCCAGGCCAGGACCCTTCTCCACATGGCTCTGAAGCCTGCGCTTCTTGCCCTTGCTGGAAAGTTCTCCGTTGCTTGAGGACACTCTCTGTCCCCTTTGGTTCCTGAGTGGAAAAGATCCAGGCAGTGCCACACTGACAGGGTCCTGAGCCACCCAGGGAAGAGCGCAGACAGCTCTTCTCTCCCAGGAGGGTCTCGGCAGCAAGCTGTTTGGTGCGGAGCTTGTGCCCCACCCTCTGCAGGACAGCTGGCCCCTCCTGGTGTCCACGCCAGGAACTTCACACACGGAGCTCTGCCGTGATGGAAATATGTCTCTTTTCTCCACAGGATCACCAAAGATGAGGCAGAGACCCCCTCCTCGCCGGGACATGACCATCGTAAGTGGACCCTGGTCTGTGGCCATCAGAGATGCCGCAGGTCCCCCAGGCCTTTGCCCTGTCCAGAGCTCTCTTCCTGTCCATGCAGCAGCCTGGTGAAGCAGGCAGTGCAGATCACTGTCCCCTCTGCAGGTGGAAAGACGGGTCCAGGCAGGGAAGCCATCTGCCCAGGGTCCTCTGCCCCTGTGTCCTGCTCTTGCTCCACTTCTCCAGATCCTCTGCGCAGGCCCAGGCTGAGGAGGCACAGGGATGGCATCTGTGGTGCCGTTCTGATATCCTGCTCCACATCTGGGGTTCTCCAGCTGCCTTGTTAACAGGTGGAGCCTCCCTTCTCTGAATATCCAAAATCAAACTTTTTAAGCACCAAGATGACACACTACGGAAAATTCCACACCTGACCTCACCTGCCGGGCTGCTTTCAAAACGCAGGCACACTAAAAATATTGTCTAATGCCATCCGTCAGGCTCTGTGGACGTGAAACACACATGAGAGAATTTCATGCTTGGACTAGGGTCCCCAAGACTTCTCGTTATATGGTGCGGTGATCCCAACCCAAAGCTCTCCTGGCCCACGTGTTTTGGACAGGGGTTGTCCCACTGTGCCCTGAGCTGCTGCCCTGTTTTGGAAGGCCTGCCGTTCACTGAGCACCATGCAGTGCACTGGCCACTCACTGTGGTGACCGGTGTGACCCTTGCAGCCGGCCACCAGGCTGAGACCTTCCATGCTCCCACTGCCTGAGGCCAGACTGAGGCTCAGAGGGGAGACCACTGCCCAGGGCCACACCCGTCACCAGTTTTTCCCACCCAGCTAGCCTGGCCCGCGAGCCTGTTCTTCCCGGGCCCTACAGCCACTTCACCTCAGACCTTGTCCTGCCCCATGCTTTCATGGTGCAGCCAGATGCCCTGTGTGTCCACTCATCCCCGAGGTTGGAGGGTGAGTGAGAGCTCACTGGAAGATGCCAGTGGTGTCCTCCATGTGTCCGTCAGAATTAAGTCGATCCACCAGCACCTTCCATGGTGACTGTGTGTCCCGGGCCCCTCGTCTCACCCCAGTGATGTTGTGGGGCTTGTTCCCCCTGGAATGAGCCCTATATGTGTCCTCCCAGCCTCGGGGTCTCAACCTGCCCAAGCCGCCCGTCCCACCCCACGTGGAGGAGGAGTACTACACCATCGCCGAGTTCCAGACCACCATCCCCGACGGCATCAGCTTCCAGGCCGGCCTAAAGGTCGAGGTGAGTCGGCCACTGGGGTCAGAGTCACTGCCTTATCGCACTCAAGAGAGTGCACCCAAACACCCGGCACCCCCACCTGCAGCCCTGGCCGCCCGCCCCGGCCTGCCATCTGCAGGTGGCCTGCCTGGACACTTCACACAGGTGGATGCCTGTGCCACGTGCTCTCAGAGGACCACTGAGCCACATCCTCAGCCCTATTTCATATTTTAGTTAGAGACAGTGTCTTACTGAGTTGCTTAGCACCTCACTGTTGCTGAGGCTGACTTTGAACTTGAGATCCTCCTGTCTCAGCCTCCCAAGCCTCTGGGATTACAGACATGGGCCACCACACCTGGCCAAAGTAAAGATTCTTGATACCTTCTGTGATTTCACTTTGCTCTTATTTGAGTCAAGAGATAGAGGGATTGAATTCGGAGGAATTTGGAGGAATCCTGAGTTCTGTTTTAACAGAAAATCTGCCCTGATGTCATCATGAATTATGCACATGTGTACCTAGTGCCTCCATGGGACTTGGTGGGGATGGGGCTGGGAGGGAACATTGTGTGGCTGGAGCTGAGCGTGAGGAAGCCGAGCAGCCTGAGGGTACCCCGTGGAGCTGCCCAGGGGGATTGGACATCGTGTTTGAAGAGGAAAGTGACCTATGATGGCAAACAGAAGCTGTGGCTTCCACTTGAAGGAGCAGGTGATTGACAGTGTGTGACCCAGGAAGGAAGTACCAGTGGAGAGGCGGGAGCATCAGCCTGATCACAGGGGTGGGAAGCACCGGGAGGCGAAAGAATGGGGACACTGGTCGCAGGACACTCTAGGAGCTCGGCTGTGGGGAAAGGCAGGAGAAGTCGGGGACAAGGGCAGGACGTGAGCAAGTTGACTGGCTTCTGAAAGCTCGGTTTTCAGCGTACTGGGAGGAATTCTGCTTTGAGGTGCCAGTGTGCTCAGGCAGCCGGAGCAGGGGTCCTCACCGTCACCGTCATCATGGCCACGGTCACCATCACCACACAGGTGCTGTAGGTCTGCTTCAGACCTGGCTGGCAGAGGCGCCCGGAGTGGGCAGGACTTCGTCTCTGCTTGTGGCCACTGTCCTCCAAGCCCAGTCCATCCACACCATTCCCAGGAGCAGGGAAGACGGCCCCAGTGCCCCAGCTCCAGCCTGTCCGCTCAGCAAGCCCAGGGGTCCCTAGGGCCAGGGTTCCAGCCATTCCACTGGCCTTCCCACTCCTGGACCTTGGATAGGACAAGAAGCCCAGGGAACTCAAGGCTGCTGTTCCCAGAAGGAGGCTTAACTCCAGGCACACAAGAGCAAAAGAGGGCCCAGCCCCAGGCATCTCGTCTGCCCTCGCTGAGGCTGGTTGGGCCTCTGAGCAGACCACGCCTGTTCCCTCTGGCTCTCCTCCCCACCTTCACTGGCGCTGACCAGCGAGCGCCTCATGCACAGCCGTCCTCCCCAGCAAGCGCCCTGCAACCCAGCCTCGAGCCTCTGCCCTACTCCCCATGACATCAGGCCCCACCAGAGGTGGCCTGAGGGACGTGGTGGGAAGGAGTGGTCTGAAGATGATGGCTTAGGCAGGTGCTCTTTCCTTCTGATAAATCCCACATGCTCTGTTCTCCCTTCCCATTTTTGCCTCCTGGTTCACTTCAGAATCACCGGAGTCTTCAAGATGTCTTCACGGAGCCACAGCTTCCTAGCAAACAGTAGGGGTGCCGCAACAGCTGGGCTCCTCATCCAGGCTGCCAGGGGCATGGTTTACGGTGATGATGGTCATGGTGGTAGTGACAGTGATAGGGGTTGATGTCAGTGGTCATGGTGATGTTGATGGTCATGGTGGTGGTGACGGTGATGGGGGGGTGGTTTGTCAGTGGTGGAAATGATGTTGGTGGTCGTGGTGGTGGTGACAGTGATGGGGGTTGATGTCAGTGGTCGTGGTGATATTGATGGTCATGGTGGTGGTGATGTTGATGATGGTGATGGTGGTGGTGGTGATGTGATGGTGATGGTGATAGTGCTAGTGATGTTAGTGATGGTTATAATCATAACAATGGTGGTGATGGTGATGTGGTGGTAGTGATGATGGTCATGGTGGTGGTGGTGACAATGATGAGGTGGTGGTGGTGGTGGTAGGGATGATGTCAGTGATGGTGATGATGGTGTTGGTGATGGTGATGATGGTGGTGATGACGATGGTGGTAGTGGTGATGATAACAATGGTGATGGTGGTGGTGGTGGTGGTGGTGGTGATGATGATGACTGCAGTAGTGATGATGATGATCATGACAGTGACGGTGGTGACGATGTGATGATGATACACGTGCCTCTTCAGTGCATGTATCTTGTCAACTGACTTAATAATGAACCTTTACAGAAGTCCTGCGAGGTCATAATCATCAGCCCCTTTTACAGATGAGCCTCAGAGGAGCTGGGTAAATGGATCCCTAAGGTTACACAGCTAGTAAGTGGCGGAGCCTGGGTTGGAACCAGGTCTCTGTGCCACAATCCTGTGCGCAGAGCAGAAGCGTAACAGATCCTCCTTGGTACACAGTCTGTGGTCCTGTTTCTGCTGCCTTGGGTGTGGGACTTGATCTTGGCACTGTGGGTTCACGCGAGTGCTGATGAGGACCCGGTGCCCAGCGCTGCCCTCGTGGTCAGCGCTCACAGCGCTCATCCTGTGCTGCACAGAATAGGGCCTCGCTCCCTGTGCTTGTCCAGTGCCACCTGCTTTTTCCCAGGGACCTCCGCTCCAACTGAAGGACAGACCACACTGGCTGCCAGCACTTACCGAGCGCCTGCCTGCGGTGCTGGTGCAGCTGTGAGTGGAGTTCCCAGGTGGATGTTGCTGTTTTCATCATTATCCCAGCTTGGGTTGGAATGTGGGGCATGAGGCTTGCCCAGGCCATTTGGGAAGCAGGCCATGAGCTAAAACTGACCTCAGGACTGCGGGCAGGCCCAGCCTCCTGGCTCTGTCTGTTGGTGCCATCCCTTTCCAGCCAGGCCTCCTCACCGCAGCAGCAGGACCATGGCCACAGTCCTCTACCCCCGGCAGCCTCTCACCCAGGCCTGGATCCTCCACAGGGTCTGGCTCTGGAGCCCGCCTGCCTGCCTCCTCAATAGGACGAAAGTCCCCGTATCACAGGGAGCTGAACGCATAGTCAGACCTCCTGTCACGTTCTGCCAGGGAGGGCAGCGTGTTCATCTGCTGAGGTTGCTGGACACAGCGCCACAGGCAGGCGGGCTACACAGCAGTGGTTTGCTTCTCACAGTTCTAGAGGCTGAAGTCCAGGATCAAGGTGCCAGCAGGTCTGGCTTCTCCTGAGGCCTCCCTGCTGGGCTCTGGATGGCTCCCTGTGTCCTTATGTGGTGGGCCCCCAGTCTCTGTTTCCGAATCCCCTCCCCCATGAAGACATCAGTCACATTGGACTTGGGCCTCCCATTGTCACTTAGTTACTTCCTTAAAGTCCCCGCCCAAGTACAGTGACGTTCGGACGTACTGGGTAGGTTAAGGCTGCAGCATGTGGATTTTGCAGCACAGTTCAGCCATAGTCTCTGGGCTGTGAACCTTCACCCATGTGAATCCAGCCATCTGATCCTGCACCAAAAAGAACCAAGAAACCCAGGAGCTTTCAGGCTGTGGGTGATTCCAGCCACCGCTGCAGTCGGTGGGTGTGTGGGTGCCAAGGAGGCTAGACAGGGAGGAGCCTGCCAACTCCATCAGCCTCGGCACCCTGGGTATAGCATGAGGGTGTCCTTGAGCCACTGGGTGACTACTTCATCAGTGCTCAACCAAGGAAGCGGATCAGGGTAACTTGGGCTCTGTGTGACACGTCCGTGCAGGCTGGCAGTGTCCCACCTCCCAGACGGCAGGGGAGTTGATGCCCTTGTTAGGAGATGCTGGTGGCCACAGAATCAATGTCCCACCCCCGAGGGACCCTTCTGAGCACTGTCTGCAGGACCTTCAGGTGGTCCTTGGTGGCTCACGCCCCAGTTGACCTCCTCTCTCCCCTGCTCCACTTCTCTACTTGAAGGTATTAACTTCAAATTAACTACCTGCACTCAAGTCCAATCTGGGTGACTGTGGAGGAATCCAAAATTGTATAAGAACCCGCTAGGTGCGGTGGCACATGAGTATAACCCAGCTACTGGGGAGGCTAAGACAGGAGGACGGCTGGAGCCCAGAGTCCCAAGCTGGACTAGGCAACAAGGCGAGACCCTGTCTCAGAAACACACACACAAATCATATTGGACGAGAACCTGCCCTCTGTAAGATGCGCTGAGGCAGGGGAATGGCTCCATAGGCCTTTAGGAGAACCTGCAGAGTTCAAAGGCACAGCTGCCAGCGCTGGGTGGCATGTGGGTTCTTCCAGACCATTCTGATCTGCCTGCCCTCATGCCACACTGCCACCGTGCTAACCTCTGTCCCCTTACAGGTGATCGAGAAGAATCTGAGCGGCTGGTGGTACATTCAGATCGAAGACAAGGAAGGGTGGGCCCCAGCAACCTTCATCGACAAGTACAAGAAGACCAGCAATGCCTCGAGACCCAACTTCCTGGCTCCCCTGCCCCACGAGGTGGCACAGCTCCGGCTGGGGGACGCAGTGGCAGTGGAGAACAACGTGGGCAGCGAAGCCGTGGGCCCCTCCCGGCCCCTGCCTGACACCCCGCATGGTGCCCTCGACTCTGGGATGTCCTGGTGCAAAGACTGGAAGGGTGGGAAGGAGGCCCTGAGGAAGGCGTCCGCAGACGCATCCTCGTCGGCAGGCTACGAGGAGATCTCAGACCCTGGCCTGGAGGAGAAGCCCAGCCTCCCTCCGCGGAAGGAGTCCATGATCAAGTCGGAGGGGGAGCTGCTGGAGAGGGAGCGGCAGAGGCTGGAGCAGCTCCGCGGCGCCTCGCCGAAGCCTCCTGGCATGATCCTGCCAATGATTCCAGCCAAGCACTCCCCGGCCCGGGACGGCAGGAAGCCAGAGCCCAAACCTGAGAAAAGCAAGTTGTTCCAACTGAAGAATGACATGGGGCTGGAGTGTGGCCACAAGGTCTTGGCCAAGGAAGTGAGGAAGCCCAACCTCCGGCCCGTCTCCAAGTCCAAGGCTGAGCCCGAGGAGAAGCCAGAAGCCGTCCCCCAGAATCCATTCCTGAAGTCCAAACCTCAGGTCAGGCCCAAACCAGCTCCTTGCCCCAAGACAGAGCCACCTCAGGGCGGAGACCAAGTGGATATCTGCAACCTTAGGAGTAAGCTCAGGCCCGCCAAGTCCCAGGAGAAATCCTCACTGGACGGGGAGAGCGCCCTGGCTACTGGGGGCCAAGACATGGCCTTCAGCCGAAGCTTCCTTCCAGGTGGGGAGGGACCTGGCCGTGCCCAGGATAGGCCTGGCAGACAGGATGGACTCAGCCCAAAGGAGCTGTCCTGCAGAGCCCCCCTGCGGCCAGCCAAGACCACCGATCCTGGGCCCAAGAATGTGCCCGTCCCTGTCCAAGAGGCGACTCAGCAGAGACCTGTGGTCCCACCCCGGAGACCACCACCCCCAAAGAAAGGCTCCTCCTCGTCTTCCTCCAGACCCCTCCCAGAGATCAGAGGGCCACAGCCGGAAGCCAGTGAAAACAGGGCAGCTGCTGCCCCCGGCCGTGCCCTCCTCGTGCCCCCAAAAGCCAAACCTTTCCTCTCCAACTCCTCGGGGGGCAAAGGCGGGCTGGGGCCGCGGGCAGCCGGCAAAGCAGAGGACCACAGAGAGAGGGCAGCTGCGGCCTCCTTGCCCGACATCGACGGCCTGAAGGACTCTTTGTATGTGGCCGTGGCCAACTTTGAAGGAGACGAAGATACAGGCAGCTTTCAGGAGGGGACGGTGTTCGAAGTCCGGGAGAAGAGCAGCAGCGGCTGGTGGCTGTGCCAGGCCCTCAGCGGGGCCCCTTCCTGGGAGGGCTGGATCCCCTCCAACTACCTCAGGAAGAAGCCCTAGCGCCCTCCCACTGGAGGCCCGCTGCTGCCCGCGGCCTCCCCATGTATTTAATGGCCTCTTAATTTATCCGACTCCACAGTTCGGCTTCTCCCCTGGGAGGCTGGAGAGTGAGCGGCTGACCCAGAGCCAGGTCTCCCCCTGTGGTGGCACCCCAAAGGTGCACGCCACAGCCCCCGCTCCATGGGGGTCCTCGCCAGCACCCTGCCTTAACAGACCTCCTCCTCTTGACCAGTGGCGGTGACCCTCCCAAGCCTCCAGGATCAGCTCCTGTGACCAGGAGGAGTTCCACGCTGGCTCCCCCATTGCCTGGACAGGCACAGGACGGGGCAGCCTGCCCGGTCCACCATGACTTGCTCTGATTCTCCATGTTTCTAGAAGCCCAGGCGCTTTGCTCACTGTCTCCCAAATGCCTGGTGCCGGGAAGAGCCGTGACTGGTAGGCATCAGCTCTATTGCCAGTCCCCAGGAAAGTGGCCTCTTCCCCAAGCCCCAGGCCCTCCAACTTCTGAGGCTCCAGCAGATGCCGCTCCCCCAGGAGGGGCCTGGAGGTCCACCAGCCACCCTGCTCCCGTCTTCTGCCTTGGACCTGAGCAGCGCCACAGGCTGGCCCCGGCCCCAGCACGCTTCACTTCCTGCTGCAGGCTCTGCACCACCTGGGGCTCTTCAATTCGAACTCCTGTCCCCTGCTGGGGTCACTTCATGTTTGTCTTCCTAGGACCAGAGGCTCGAGGTTGTCTGAGTAAGGGTCCATTCACAAGCCACGCCCCTCGTGAGCACCGCCCCCCCCAGTAGCCAACAGGTGCCAAACATGACGTGGCACTTAGCACTCATGGTTTAGTGCTCACAGAGACCTCCGTCACCAGGCCCATTCATAGATGAGGAAACTCAATTCGGCCAAGGATGTGCTAGCCAGGAAGAGAGGAAAGAGGATTTCTGACCAGGCTGCCCAAGTTCCCCCACAGGGAAAGGCAAACCAGTCACATGGAGGGGGCTGCCAGGAGAGGTGGCCCTGTGGCTTCCTTGTGGTGTGAGCAGGGGACACCTGCTCCCCCACCTGATGTCCCTCTCAGGCCCCTGCAGCATATATAGCAGGCTGCCCGGAGGCTGAGCAGCTGCTGCCCCAGCTTGGGGGTACTGTGGGGTCCTGGTTGGCTAGCACAGACCCTATTCCCTGCTCCTGTGCTGGTACCCCTGGGGGGATGAGGCCGATGGGACAGAGGGAGCTGAGGTGGCCTCTCCCCTGCCAGCCACGAGGGGCTCTGGTGGCTCACAGGCCAGCAGCCAGGTCCCTGCAGAACGAAGCATGGTGATTAGGAGCCCAAGAAGGAGGCAGGCACCCAGGGCCAGGCAGAGGCCGCCCGTCCCTCCCTGTCCCTCCTGCCATGGCTTCCTGCTCTCTCTGGCACACGGAGGAGATCTCCCTGTGTGTACACCCCAGGAGAACCAGGCAGCCTTCTACGGATTTGACTGAAGAGGCACCATTCTGCAGAAGTAGAATCGGGACCCAGGCTTTCCAGCTCCCATCCCAGAGATCTCTTCTGTGTGCCGGCTGCTGGTGTGTGACGAGAGCCCTAGAACCCAGCCCACTGCCCTGCCCTGCCCCAGAGACCTCCGGTGCACAGCGTTCACCTGCTGCCACGTCCCAGTGTCCCTCTGCTAGAGGGAATGCTTGCATCTACCTGCCGTGCCAAAGATCTGTGCAGAGAGCCTTCTTCTGCACCCCAGCCCCGGGCCGCACCCTGGGCTCTGGCCACTTCCACAGGAGTCCCACTCAGTCTACGGTGGCATGCCAGCCCTGCGTCCTTGGCTCAGCCTGAGCTCTCTCTTGCAGGGCTTGATTTGTGCCCCGACCTGGAGGAAGGTGGCAGTGCGGGGAACGGGAGGTGGGAGAGGACCACCCCTATGTGAGCCCTCCGCGTGGGAGGCCCAGCATGGTTTTCCTGTGGTTTGGACCCTGTTGATCAACCTGTTTGTGGAGCTGCTTTACAGGGTCTGACTACCTTTCCAAAGACACAGCTGACTGGTTTTCTTTCTGATTCGCCTCTGGTTTCAGTGACATTTTCAGGCATTTTGGAAGCACCTACTGCGTCTCTGACGCTGGGTAGACCAGGGTGTGGGGGCTCCAACGTGGGCTGCGAAGAGCTCCACGCTTTGTCCACTGAAGGAGTATCAGTGGCCTCACGTCCCTTTCCCCCCACCGGGTCAGCCAGTGGGACCAGACCTGCTCTGCCCTCCTGTGGGTAGGACGTTTTCCTGCAAGTCAAAGAACTTGCCTTTTAGACTATTCTAGTGCTGACGGGAACTGTGTGGCTGTGGAAGCCCCTTCCTCCATGGTGGCTGTTCTTTGCTGGGGTCACCTCTGTGGCCTGAGGACTCCTGTATCTGCTCACTGCTGCAGTGGTGGACATGCCCCTAGGCAACTAAGCTGTCTGGGTCTCTATGGCAGAGACCCTCCTCGCTGTTCTTGCTTGGGGACTTAGGTTTACGGTATCCAGGACGATGCTCACTAGTCTGGGAGCAACTGACGAAGCTTATGCAGAATTCCCTGGAGTCTTGGCCAGGAAAACATCTGGGGCCATCAATGACACCGTGCCACATACCAACAGGTCACCTCACCTGCTCTTCACCACGTCCCCTCCTTTATTCTCGAGACAATCCTGCAAGGGGAACAGGAGCCACTCGGTGCACAGCAATGCATGAGGGTGGAGTCCCGTGCCCCACCTCATCCAATCAGTGCCTCACTGGGACTCAGGTGGGGGACTTGCTCTTCCTCATGTCCTGACCTTCCTGCCCCTTCAGAGGTGAAATGTGCACTGGGCTCCCAGGGGGCCAGTCTCTGAAGTTAGCTGTCACCACCCCTTGGTCAAACATTTCAATAGGTCACAAGAGAAGTGCCAGCCAAGGGTGGGCACTGGTGGGTTTTTGCCTACTCACTTCCGCTCACTGTCTTGTGCCGGCCACTTTATCTTACAAGCTGGGGCAGATGTACAGCTTGTCCTAGTGCCACCAAGTCTGAAAAATCTGAATTTGAGAACCACCACTTGGTAAAACAGGATTTTGCTCCAATTCTCTGCTGAGAATCAGTCTTCACCATTTGGTGACATTGGCCTTTGTCCCAGGCTGAGACTTGGGGAGAGCTGAGCTCCAGCTCAAACCACTTTTCATGGCCCCACCCTCCTAGGAAACTGCTAGAGCCACACCAGGCTTTCAGGGGTCATTTGAGCCTCTGTCACAAGGTGCTGCATAGAGTACGTTTCTAGGGCAAAGTTCTTAGCCTTAAAGTGTTTCTGAGCTCCCAGGAGGTTCAGTGCCAGGTGGAAAGTGGAGGAATGAATAGATGTGCCACACTGAAGGACAGGCACCAAACCGCCCAGGACTGGGGAAGGACGTTGGGCAGGGAATTGGACAGTACTTATTACTAAGTACTTATTACAAGTGTAGTACTTATTACTAAGTGTAGTACATAATAAGTGTCCATCCCTGAGTGAGCTACAGAGGAAACCACTCCTGCCCTCAAATGGCAGCTGACATGGTTAAGAAGAGGGCTGGGCGTGGCGCGGTGTGGAGTGCCTGCCTGGCATGTGCGTCCCATCCCCAGCACTGCAGCAGCAACCCCACAGCCTGACTGCCCTCCTTCCACTGTGCCCACCTCTTAATGGGCACCTTGCAGCCTAGCCATGGGTGACCTCTTTGTCCCATCCTCTCAGGGCTCTTGTGTGAACTGCAGACAGCCGTCCATACCTTAGACCAAAGATTCCCCAGCGGCAGTGGGACCTGGCCCAGGTGAGCAGGAGATGGGTTTGCAAGGAGGCCTGAGGGTGAGGGCGCTCTGCTTCCCCTGGTAGGAACTGCTCCCACCTGGAGTAGGGTCCCCTGCAGAGCTGCAGAGGTCCAGCCAGGCTCCACCCCCTCACCTGCCCATGGACCACCCTCCGAGTGTCCCTCTGCAGCGGCCTCCCCCTGCTGCATGGCCATCTGCTCTGGTGCTAGCCTGCAAAGCCTCCAGCCCACTGTGGCTCAACATTCCGCCTTCCTGATTCTGTGTCTCCTGCAAAGGAAACCTTCTTGGCCCCAGAGAGGGGGCTCAGCCTCTTTGGTCCTTGGAAGGACCAGATCGTGCCATAGCCGGTGGCCTTTGCTTTCAATATTGAAAAAGAAGGCCCCGGGGCTAACATAGCAGTAGCAATTCTAATGCAATGGAGGGTTCCAGTCCACCCCAGCGTGCCTGGCTGTGCCTTGTGCCCAGTAACTAGTAGCACCCCACTGAGACAGGACCTTGAACTACAAGCCACGCCTTCGGCTCCAGGAAGCCTCACGTTACTAGGCCACTTCTCATCCCTCCAGGAGCAGTGGGCTCTGGGCATCATTGCCGCAGCTGGTGTCTGCTCGTGGGACGATGCTGGGGATCCCTGGGTACCTCAACACGGCCCATACCCTTGTGGAAAAGTGACAGGTTCCTTCTGACACAAAAGCAAACACTGAGTGTCGGATGTGAGGGGCACCTAGCTGTAGCATGCAGAGACTGTCACCTGACCAGTAGGCTTGTTCCTTGGTTTTTGTTTTTAATAAATAAAAAGTGCTTGACTGGTTTCAAGCCTCGCTGTGAGAATGACGTGTCTGGGTTTTATTGGCTGAAGGGCGCACAGCTTCCCGCCCCCGGCATCTTATCCTGTGCAGGCTGCGCTGGGGTGTTGTCCAGACTTGGGGTGCCTCCTTTCTGGGCCCTAGGGCACCTTCTTTTAGCTACAGTGTCCACAAACCAGGGGAAAGTGTCCTCTTATTTGCTGGCTCCCGGCTGTTCCCAGCTCTGCCTAAAGATGACAGCTTCCCTGTGGAGGAGTCTTGACCGATCTCTGGCCTTGCCTGCCGCTGGGCAATGCCACGTGCCATGGGAGATGGAACGTGTAACCAGAACCCAGCCTCGGGGACTGCTTGAGGAAGCCACCTGCTCCCAAGCAAATAGAGGGTGCAGGCTGATGTCGGTTATTTTATTTTATTTTTTACAAGGGTGCTTAACCACTGAGTCAAACCCCAGTATTTGTGTGTGTGTGTGTGTGTGTGTGTGTGTGTATTTATTTATTTATTTTGAGACAAGGCCTTGCCCAGTTTCTGAGGCTGGCTTTCAACTCTCGATCCTCTTGCATTGGCCTCCCAAAGCCCATCAGGATTACAGGCAGGTGTAGTAGCTGATGTGTATAATTTTGCAATGGCAAAGTCAACCCCAAAGGTGGAACTCCCCAGTCACAAGTGAATCTTTGAACAAAATGACAGTACCACCCATCTTCTAAAGAAAAGAGAAAAACCAGCAGAGACCCCGGATGGTGGACTTCAAAAGGGGTTCACAGCTGAGCACAGTGGCCCACGCCTGTAATCCCAGCAGCTGGGAGGCTGAGGCAGGAGGATCAAAAGTTCAAAGCCAGCCCCAGCAACTTAGCAAGGCCCTAAGCAACTCAGTGAGGCCCTGTCTCTAAATAAAATATAAAAAGGGCTGGGGATGTGGCTCAGTGGTTAAGCACCCCTGGGTTCAATCCCTGGTACCAAAAAAAATGGGGCGGGGGACTTCACATACAACAACAGAGACACCTTAGAGAGGAATAATGGCCATTAAAATGCTGATTTCTATTCCCCTAAGAAGGAGGGAAGCCTGTGGCCCAGCCCCTGGAGCAGGCTGAGATCAGACTGAGCGCAGAACAGGACGGCCAGAGCCGTGGACTTCTGGGGGGCCACCTGCCCTTGAGCAAGGGGGCGGGAACTGTGGGGGGAAGGCTCCCCTTCCCCTCCAGGGGCTTCGAGCCCCACCTCTAGCCTTCAGGTGGTGCCTGGGACAGACACACACCATGCCCAGGACTGCTGTTCCAGAAAAGCCAGGGCCACTTGACCCAGCCGTCCACCCTCGCACCTGCCAGTCCCCCTTGCCAAGGGCCACGGGTGTCTCTGGGCCCAGGATTTAGGCCACGGGACCCTCTTCTTACAGCGCAGCCTCTTTCATGCCCATTCCTTCTCTCCTAGTGTGGCTCTTCCACCTCTCGTAACCCAGGCTGCCCAGTCAGTGGCCCAAGAGTCCATGGCCATCACCATCTACCATGGAGCTTGTCAAAGCAGATTCCCAGGCTTAGCCCCCCAAAAGTCAGAATCAGCAGGAATCGGCATCCCCRAGGAGCAGGTTCTGAAGAAGGGCTCTGCTCCTTGAGAGGACGAGCCACCGAGCAGCCCTGACCTGGTGTGACCCGGTGTGTGATGAAGACGGTCACCATCAGCACCGCCACTGTTGTCTGGGCATTCACCGTGTTCTGGGCCTGTGAGGCACGGAGCCAGCACTGACCTCGTCTCAAACTTCCTCGGCAGGGTTGCCATGCTAGAGGCTCTGTCCCCAGCCGGCAGTGCTGAGAGGAGGTGGGCCTTGCAGGAGGTCCCCGAGAGGGAGTTGTGCCACGCCTCTCACGCCCACAAGCAGGGGCCTGTACTGGTCCACAGAGCTCATCTGTGTGGTCTCTGATCCTAGAGCCAACTCCCTGCACTGAGTCCCTCCAGACTGTTGACCAATGCACACCTCTGATTATGACCTAAATATTCCCTGGGCTTAAAAACCTTATTAAAAAATACTTCCCAACCCTAACTGTAATTAAAGAAAAAGATTTAAATTTGTTCAGGACATGATGTTAGTTGGATACCTTAAGATGATCTCTTATAAACATCACCACACTTCTTCCAATTGGGAATTATCATGCCCATTTTAGGAATGAGGAAATTGGTATCTTGAGAGATTAAGCAATTTACCCACAGTCACAGCTACTAAGAGGAAGAACGTGGAACTATAAATCCAAAGGCCATTACCTTGACAGTTCCCAGATCCATAATCTTTCCACTCAGCATTTCCTGAAGTGTGTCCAGAACAAACGTCAATTAGTGTTCTGAAATCATCATTCCATGGACACATTAGATGAGAAATGCTGTATTAAATAAGGTTCAACAGTGTCTTTATGGCAGATCTTACGTAAATATAAGCAGCCTCTTATGTAATTAAACGCAGTGTGAATGTTACTCTTTACAGTGATTTATATTTACGTGTTAGCTTTGCTGTCACTGTAACAAAGTACCTGAGGAAAACAACTTAAAAGAGGAAACACTTATTTTGGCTCATAATTGCAGAGATTTCAGTGTGTGGCCATTTGGTTCTGTACTTTCTGGGCCTGTACTGAGACAGGATATCATGGCCAGAAGGGTGTAAGGGAAGCTACTCACCTCACAGTAGCTGGGTAGCAGAGGGTGATGGCCAGGGACAAGATAGAGTCCCAAAGGCATACCCCCAAGGATCGACTCCCTTCCACTCTGACTCCTACAGCATCCACCACTTCCTAAGAGCCCACAGCCAGGAATCCATCCATGGATTAATCTGCTGATGAGGTCGGAGCCTTTATGATCCGTCCCTTC